TTTTGACTTAATCTCTTTTTAGTATCAATCGATACTGTTCGTATCATCGTTGATGGTATCGATCGACGTATTATAAAACAATTTGATATTAACATAATTGAAAATGGTATTAAATTATAAATAATAACATGAATTTTTTCCCATTTAGGAAATATATAATACGGATCATTTGGATGTGAATAACATATAATACAAGTTCGTTTTTCAAATGGTATACAATTTGATTGTTGATATCCATTTAAGAAAAGTAAATGACTATTAATAAGAACTATGATTATCGTTACAATGAGAATAATATAAATAACATAATTAGCTCGACCTATTTTTCGATGCCAAAATAAAAAATGTATATTAAGACATCGATCGAGACTAACTAATGTTAGATACCATGATGAAAGTTGTAAACTAACAAATGCCATAAAAGATATAAAACGACATAATAGAATAGATGAATCTTCTAGATCATTTTGATATGGATTAATTAGATGTTTATAAAATAAATTTAAATTCCATGAATATAATGAACTAAGATCAGCAATAGCTACAGCTATTAAATATCTCATGGTTGTATATTGTCTTAAATTCGGTCGGAGAAGAATAATTATCGTTAAAATATTTCCTTATTAAAAAATAAAAGTAAAATTTCATTTATTTGATATGTTAATTTACCTATGGTTCCAATGATGATAAGAAATAATGCATAGATAGCTAAACCATACAAAATTGGATGATGAAAAAGTACAGTACTTTCTGAAATCGTATTGTTCCATATTATCGATTCGGTCGATAATGAATAATTGTTAGTGAACATATTTGAACTAGAAATTATATAAAAGAAGCTTAAAACAAGATATCTATGTTTCCAATTTGTTATTTGAACAGATTAATATTACATACATGATTTCCTGTTAATACTACATGATCTTCACTAAATAATATCTCTTCTTGTAACTACATATAATATACTCGTCGGAAATAAGGAACACAATTGTTCGTTTTTTTCTTCCTTATTAGACAAGCCGTCTGTTAATAATAATAATACCAATAAAGAGTAACAGATACAAATGCTCTTTACTTGTTGATCCATTGTGTCTTTGTACATATGATGTAAGATTAATAGAATTAATCAGCATGTCAACAATTTTGTTGTATATCTAATAACAAATATATTCATGCTGTGCTTCATTAAATATTAGATTTGCGTGTATCAATAAAGTGATGACATATATCATTCCCAGTACATTCACATATTTATTCTGAAAGAGAAGAGTTTGAAGATCGATTGTATTAGATGAAAAGAAGACATGTGTAAGAATGATTAGGCAAATAGGTATTAGAAAAGAGAAGCAAAATAAGTTAATTTGATGTAGATATTTTTAAACTCGATAGACTCAAGAATACGATTACAATCCGAAGGATATATATATAAATGGATCCTCTGTATCGCCACTATATCCCATAGATTCTCTGTATTATCATTGTAGTCCAAGGATCCTTTAGATCATAGTTGTATCCTGTGGATGCCGGAATTCCACAATCCGCTTTTCCCCCCTTGGATAGACTAGTTAAACTTAATTTTTCATCTTTGATTTGAATAGATCAAGCTAATAATAATTAAAATTGATATTACATAATAAATTTTCTTTGAGAAAATCCATAAAAAAAGGATTGTTTTTTTTTTATTCACATATAATATTAGTTATTAACAAATTTTCATTAGTATTACCACTTGCCTAATGATTGTCTTAAATTTGAAAAAGTTGGTCGATCATTTGCTTGAAATTTCAAACATTCACATATGATTTTTTCATAGAAATCATTTGGACATAAATCTGGCTTCTCGTGAACATGTCCAGTGCTTACAGCTGATTGAATCCATGCATGAATATTTTCTGCATAAGGATCTTCACCTTTTAACCAAATTTCAATCAGTACAATGCCAAATGCCCAGATATCTGATTTAATTGAATAAGCAGCTTGATCATTGAGTAATTCAGGTGCTAACCAACGTGTTGGTAGTTTTTGTGAAAGAGCCTCTTCACGTCGACCCGTATCATTCGTATCTATAATAGTTGATAATCCAAAATCACCAATTTTTACTTTCTTACTACATCGACTAAGAAGAATATTGCGACAAGCTAAATCACGATGAACATAATTTCGATGTTCTAAATAAGCCATACCAGTTGCAATATCTTTTGCAAAAGATAATAAAACAGAAAATTCAGGTAAATTTGGTAATTTTTTCAACCATGCTTTTAAATCTCCATTTTGCATAAATTCAGTTATTATAAGAAGTTGATTCGTACCTGGACTTTGTGAAATACCATATAATGATATGATATGTAAATTTGTTAAATTTTTCATTGCATCAATTTCTCGTTCAACTGCTTTATTGACTCCATTTACATGTAGTTTTTTTACAGCTATTGGAATTATTCTATCTTTTATATGCCAATTAGCACGTGCTACTTCACCAAAATAACCTCCACTAATTTTCTCTTCAATTTTCAAGTCATCAAACGGTATATTCCAAATTTTTTCATCAAATTCAATTGAATATGGCAATATGTCTGTTAAAGGAATAACAGAACGTACACGTTTATCATTTATAAGTTGTCGAAATGATGGAAAAAACGTATGTTGAAGTGTTACTTCTTGAGGAAAATAGAAACATTTATTTGATGAATTGATCCATATTAGATAATCCCAAGTTAAAGTGTTATGTTGCTCATTACCTTGTAAAATAGTCAAGACAAATGCATTTGGACTACTTGCACTATTTCGAATAACATAAGCACCTAGTACATTATGTCGTACAAGACATTGTTGTATGATACCAAGACCATATATACCTAATCGAAGTGGAGTTTCTACATCGAGTCGAACATATGTTTTTGATATGATACCAGAATGACCCGATCGTAAATGATGAACACGTAACTCATAAGAATTGATTTCTTCAATCAATTTCATCTCATCCTCGATTTCGAATGATATTTCATTAGGTTTTGTACTATGATAGGATTCTATGGCAATATATATAGGGATATGACGTTGTGCATGTGATTGATCTTCTGGCTCAGGTGGTTCCGGTACTATTGATGTTATAATTGGTTCTTTTTCATACGCATGTGGATTCGGTTCTCGGATGTTAGAAAGTTCGAAAACTTTGCGTGTAGGATGTGGTGACGATTTTAATGGATCACGAGGAAAACATCTTGAAAATATGCAACCCATTACCTTTCTAACAAATTTCTAAAACAATACTGTAACTTATAATATTACCAACATTTTTTCTTTTGTCTATGACAAACAATGTTAGTATATTATACTTTAGACACAGAAAAAAACAGTAAACAGTGCGCACATTATCTACTTGTCTGAAGAATAGAATAAGTTAACATTTGACATAAAGATAAGATTTATGACACACCTGCTTGGAAATATATGTATATAAATTTATAATAAACCAGCTTTGTCGTTTTTTTAATGATGGTATGACAGTAGTTCTGTGTGATTTATAACAAAATAAGTTTGAAAATCAGGAACTAGTATGATGATTTTTTGTGTATAGGAAATTCTATGACTTAGTAAATAAACTATTACTTATCTTCTATTGAAAGGATGTAAAAAAATAACCAACTAATTAACTTAAAAAATATAGAAAAAAGCATTTTTTTCAACACGTACTTCAATAGTCATGAATAAACTTTCTCTGCGACTTTGCAGGAGTAAGATAAAAGTTTGTATTACTAAGTAAATAGACTAATGTGACGTCATTATAACTATATCTTTCATGAATCAATAAAGTATCAACATTTTTTCGAATTTATTTATATATTTTGTACTAATATGACCTTAAGAAATTAGCTACAAAGTTTAAAAACGCACTACTATTTCCCTAAACTCTATTCGATCAATTAAACGTACATGATGATTGTGTTAAACGCATGAAAACAAATAAAAACAATAAGATCATATAATTATGTGAGAATTTCGTAAATTGTAATAACAGATGTTAATTATAGTTTATTAATTATTAACATAAATTATCTTTTCCTCTCACAATTCAATCTCAATTCAGGTACATTCAAACTGGCAGAGAGATTTAGGCTATCTTCTCATGCATTTTCACATCGATGTTGAAAATACTTAAATACAATTCAAGTCAATTATATATTTTGTATGACTATCGTGGTTTTTCCAGAAATATGATATAAAATTTACATATATAATAATTTTTATTATAATATAAAAAACAAAAAAAATAATTTCATTACTTTTATAGCTGCTTGGCTAATAGTTTTTAAATTAAATACTACAAAACAAAATAAACTGTTAATGAAATTCAATCGCAAACAAAGAATTAACACGTTCGTTTTCCGATGTATTTCCACCGAACACATAGAACGTATTTTTTATCGTTGCACCGGCATGCCAACCACGTTTTCCACCAACAGGTTTTTCAAATTCAACATGTTTCGTTTGTACACGCTCACCATTTTCTTTTGTGGGTTGAATAAGAATAACATCATCAGCAAATTCACCTGCACCTGCATGACCTAATTCCGATGGATCTTGCTCACCACCATGTCCAATCATTACACCATTAAGACATCCATAAGCAAAAACACTACGTGGTGAAATTTTTGAATCCTTCAAATATGTCCATGATTGTGTTACTAAATCAAAACTTGCAATATCATTTAATTCTGTTCCACAAAAACCACCGAACACCCAAAGTGCACTATTGAGATAAACAAGTGCACAACCACCACGTTCTACAAGTTCTTGAGAATTAGGTGAAGCTAATTGTCTCCATTGTTTATTACCCGTATCATACTGCCATAAATTATTCAAACGAATATTTTCACAACAACCACCAAAAACATATAACTGATCAGCACTACTAACCATTGAATGATAACTTCGTTTTTCCGGCCATACTTCTTTATCAGAAATTTTTTTATATTGCTCCCATTCTTTCAGATCAACATCATATGCGTACAATTCATCTGATGTACTATCTTTCATATCTACCAATGTTCGACCACCAAAAATATACATCCTAATCAAAGTAATAGTGCAATATAATTAAAAAAATAACTTTTAATAGATGGATATATAACTCATACATTGAATTTCTATTCTAAAGTAAGATTATCTATTTATCCCAAATTTAATATCTGGAGAGAAAGACTAATCATTTTGCTTGAAAATTAAAACTCGTGATTTTTAGCTGTTCGAATATATTTTACTCTAAGTAAAGTAAGAATTTACTTATGTTCTACAGCAGCAGCTGCATGTCCACATCTTGGTTCTGGTCGATCACCACGATTAACCAACAAACGTTTCCAATGATTATCAGCGATATTAAACTGCCAAACATCATTATCGATTGGTATACGCGGTTCATGTTCACCACCGAATACATACAAATAATTCTCAATTGCTGTTAGTGTATGACTACTTCCTATTCAAATAATTTATTTGTCGATTTTATTTTCAATAAAATACACTTACGTGGACTTGGAATCTCATCATATTGCTGTATAGATCGTTCAATAACTTCCTTAATTAAAATAATAAGATTTATTTTTATTTCAGATATTATAAAGTATTCTCTACCCTTGACATCGACAATAAAGACAAAAAAAAATAGATAATCTAGAAAAATGATTATAAACAAACACTTGTTAAATGAAGATTAATTACAGTTTCAATAGCTGTTTTAAAAGCATTTATTCTCATATGAAAATTATCTAAATATTTCGGATAGTTTTGTCGAATAAAAAATTCATTATTATCTTTTAGTTTTTCTACTTGATTTTCATTATTATCAAGTGAAAAAACATAATTTTGCCATTGCTGTTGAAAATTATCTGTCGTAGAATATAATTCACATGCACACGTTTCACTTATCTGATTTTCATCTGATAAATACCAAAGATGACCATGAATTCGATCAATAACATAATCATTATCATTTTGAGCACAAATAACATGTCGAAGAGTATTGAATAAAGCGTGTACAGCTAAATTATTAATCTGACTTTTTAAGAAAAGTATTTGCATACTTTCAGAACAACCACCACCATATAATGCTTGTTTAGTTCGAACAGTATTTGTAAGAATATGATGACTAGCATTCATACATTCCTATTTTAAATTAAATACAATAGATTTATGATAGAAGTCTGCAATCAGATCATATTCTCAATTTTAAACATGACTGTCCACCAGTTGAGGGTGTGAAGGGGGTGTGGCTGTCGAAACAAAATTACTTCACACACCCTTAAGATTTTTTGTTACAAAAATATTTATTGATCTCGATAAGTCCTGCTCGATCTGCTTTCAGCACTATCCAATGTGTCACTAATCCGTAGATATTCCAGCTTCGATCGAAATTTTTGACTAGTAGTCGCAAGTCACGGCGTCAACGCAGAAGGTCATTACCATTGAAGGTTACTATTATTATTTATAATTCATACACCCTCGCTTCATTACATTCAGACGTCTTGAGATAACATCCCAAGGTAACGTCCCGAGGTTATATACAAAGGTAAACAAGTAATGACGATGGAGGTGTGAAAAATATCAATGGTAATTACTCAAATATACTATCTTACTAAGACTTTAATATATGAAAAAAATTACTTTAAGTTCTAGAAGAGCTTGTTCTGTATTTGAACAAAGTAAAAGTGTATGAAATGGTCGAGTTTGATTAAAAAATTGAAGAAAATTCTTTTTTCCAATTCCAATTTGTTTTATTTCAGTTAATGTACCAAAATATCGTTCATCAAGTGTATCCAATGCTAATGTTTCAATTGGTTGACATCCTAAATAAACTTAATCAATCGATAATTCATAACGAAATATATTTTCTTTTACCAGTTAAATAACAAAAATGAGATGTATTTTGTCGACTAAGTCGATCGATTGTATCGATTCCATATTGTTTTAATTGTACTTTAATCGTTGGATGAATAACCTGAATATTTTCATAATTTTAATTGCAAGAAAAATGACAAAATCTTATTCAAACCTTTTGACAAAGAATTAATCCACCGTTGTGTAATTGTTTATATGCAATAATTTGTTTTGCTATTCGATCCGCTATATTATGAATCCATTCAAACATTTGTTCTTCTGTTTCAATATGATCTACATCATTAATTGTATAATCTCCCGCTAAAGATATAGTAAAATAAAGACAAGACCGGGTTGTTTTCGAACATAAAGAAGAATTAATTGATGAGATTTCATAAAGTAAACCATCAAATAAATTTGTTTCTTCAACAGATAAACCTTCAATTGTTAAAATAAGTTGTTGTTCAGATAAATTTATTAGTGTTATATTTTCAAGAAATGTTTTTACAGATAAAAGACATAATTGTTCTCGTATTAGATCCGAATTATTATATACTAATGATTTACAAATAACAGCACGAACAATTGCTAATAATTGATGTATAGAATTAAATGTAATTGTTTCAAATGGAATAATCATTTGATCAATTAAATTTAAACATTGTTCAAATAATAATACTTTTTTATTTGAATCTATTGATAGATCACGAAATTGTTTGAGAAAAGTACAAAATAGAATACTAAAATAAAGACCACCATCATGATAAGTAGTTATTTGTTTTTGTATAGCAACTGATAGTAGACGTGAAATAAGATGTCGACATTTTAACTGATATTGAATACGACTACTTATTGATGTACAAATACTCATTGAATTATCAAGTGTTTGAATTAATTTAAGACGACCATTTGAACCGTAAGATGACGAAAAAAATGAAAGAAGACGAGAAATAATTAAATAATCATCATTAGTTAAAAAGGATGACATGATTAATTAATAGATCATTTTTAAAGAAGATTTGTTAAATGAATAGTCATGAGATCGAAATCAACTATTATTCAATTCATAGAATATCTATAATAAAAATATATTTATGTTTTCGATTATTAAAATAAGACGTCTCAAACTCGGCTAGGACGAACGTATTTGCACTCAACCTTTACACGTACTTTTTCAAGTAGAAAGGACAAGTATTTACAAGTTTCACTTATACGTTGCACTTAAAAAACGGAACAATGTCTATTTTTGTAATCGAAATAATTCTTGTTTCATTAGAATTTTAGAGCTTTCCTCATAACGCTGGAGCGATGTTTTAACCAAAAAATGACACATCTCACTCTTATTGGAATTTTAAGTTGAGTCTTATGCTCTGCTCTTTTATCCTGTTTACGTCTCACTTTCAATTATAGCGGTATTTTGATTTTATAATCGAATCTGAATATAAGTTTGAAATGGTAAAATATTTTCAAAGTCAAGATGACCCACAAGCGTAATAAAAAATTAAAACAAAAAATTATAAAAGCAATCAAATTAAGAGAGAGCTTTAATACTATTTCGTAAATGAAATTCTGCTTCACATGTAAGAATATCACACTTCTAAAAACTTCATGATGCATCGACATTCGTCATAATAAGAACTCGTTCAATTGGTATGCTGACGATGATTGTATAGAAAATAAAGATAGATCTAGATGAAAACATGTGTGCGAACAGCTGGATGAGACAAAAGAGAACAATAAAGAAAATTATTTTAAGACTTGTTAAAACAGACTAAACAGCATATCGTATAAACAAGAACTAGGAATGTATACTTTTTAATAGTGGATGTTTCTTTATTGTCAAATAATAATCTGAAATTAAGAAAAAAATTATACTAACTGTTTATTAGAATCTACGAGCATAGAACGATATTATATTAAAATACAACAAAGGGGAAATAGTTGGCTTCAACTTAATTGAAGTACATGGAATTAATAGAGTCAGGGTAATTAATTGATCGTATCTGTAAAGATGTCATTGACTTTGAAGTATCGAAGTCTAGTCTATGAAATAATTCTTATTTATCTGAAATTAATTGCTGTCACTTAAATGTATCATCAGTTACTTCGAATTATCTGAATCCAATAAGAATTAATTTTAGATAACATATTTATTCAATTAAGACCCAACCATGAGAGCAATTACCATCTCTGTTGACATCATTGATCTTACTGTGCTGATATAGTTAACTAAACTAACTTCTTAGATTACAAGACATTTCATAAAACTCTTAGAATAAATGAGATTAACTATTCTTTCATTGACAAAATATGATATACTAAACGAATGGGCATTATCACCGTAAATAAAACTTTATTGTCAATTATTCATTAAATGAGGTGAATAGTTATGGTTAATTTATTTAGTTTGAGAAGATCTTTACCATCTGTTGTTCTATTTTGTTTCTATAAAATTAAAATAAAGAGAAGCTCATTCTTGAAATTTTATGAATATATTTCTCTATTATTAGCGACATTTTATAAATTTCCATCTCGATATTAACTTGTTCTAAGAATCTGATAGAATTTCTTCGTTATCAGTAAGATATCTATACTTATTTTTGTTAGATTTACTTGAAATTTCTATCGATTAAGAGCTTAAGGATTATAAATATTTATTGAAAGAGATACAATTACATCGTAAATACTTCTACATGAATATGCAGTTTTCTGTCTTAAAACGAGTTATCAATCTGTCTGCTAAGATATTCTTCCTTTCATCTGTAATAATATAGCTTTACTTGCCTACAAATATTTCTTTTGTTGTTGTTTTTTTGAAAGCTTTAACCTCATCAACTAATTCAAATCTTTTAATTTTAAAAGCTTAAAATAGTTTTAATTACTCTCTCTTCATTCTTCATTCCTTCTCCTAACGTCGAGACACCTTTAATCTTTAATCAAATTTCATGAACGAAATACACGCACGTGACCAAACTATATCGAAAGTAATTATGCTTCTTCGATGAATCATCTCTTGAAAAAAAAATCAATCTTATATAAATCTTTAAATTTTATCTTATAATTAAAAATAATCTTAATTTTAAAATAAATTTTAATAATTTTATTTATTTATTCTCGTTGTCACGACATCTTCTCATCTACATTTTATTCTTTCTCTTTACCAATCGAGTATTTTTTGTATATTCAAACGTAACCATAGTCGCCAATAGAAAGCTCGAGTAAAAGAACAAGAGGAAACAAACATATGTGTTTGTATACATATAACAATTTTTTTTGTTTTGTTTTATTATAGACAAATAAACGACGACTAAGAATGTCTGGTGATGGTGAACTTAATATTGATAGTCTTATAGCACGTTTACTTGAAGGTAAAAAACAACGAAGAAAAAAACGTTTTGAATATGAAATATATATTTTATCTAGTACGTGGATGTCGTCCAGGAAAAATAGTTCAAATGACGGAAGGTGAAGTACGTGGTTTATGTTTAAAATCACGTGAAATATTTCTTAGTCAACCAATTTTATTAGAACTTGAAGCACCACTTAAAATCTGTGGTATGAAATAAAACAAACAATGAATAATTATTTAAAATAATATATATTTTTATTAGGTGATATTCATGGTCAATATACAGATTTATTACGTTTATTTGAATATGGTGGTTTTCCTCCTGAATCAAATTATTTATTTCTTGGTGATTATGTTGATCGTGGTAAACAATCACTTGAAACAATTTGTTTATTACTTGCTTATAAGGTTTAATCATCATTTTAATAAGAAAAACATTTTTTTAATTCTTTGTATTTAGATAAAATATCCTGAAAATTTCTTTCTTCTTCGTGGAAATCATGAGTGTGCTTCAATTAATCGAATTTATGGATTTTATGATGAATGTAATAGTGAAATCAAATAATAAAAAGATAAACTATATTTTAATATTTTAGGTAAACGTCGATATAATATCAAACTATGGAAGACATTTACAGATTGTTTCAACTGTCTACCAATTGCTGCTATTATAGATGAAAAGATTTTTTGTTGTCATGGAGGTAATAGAAATATGAATTAAATACTATTGACACCCTTCCTATTAGCTTACGACCTTTTATATTAGAGAAAAACAAAATTTTTTTCTTCAATTTTCTTAAAATGTTCTGATACAATCGGAAATTGTTGTCACTATTTAAAAGATTAGAATTCGTCGGAAATATTTTTTGTTCTTTAATAGTACAGATCTTAACGTATTCTCTTTTAGTTAAAGCAAAGTCTTCACCTTTGAATAAACTATTATTTATTGATTATAAAGATATAACATTCAACGAAGAATTTGACGTTCATCTGTTTTCTGAAATGGATAAAAGTGAATTCCATTAGTTCTCTACTAGCAGGGTCTCCGATTAGAGAGGGAGTCTAGCGCCCCCCAAAAATTCGAAAAGCTGTCTGTCTTTCTGCCAAAATTTTTAAAGTTTTGCTGAAAACTTGGTCAGAAACCTAATTTTTATGCTATTTTCGCCATTTTTCCGCCAGAAACTCCAATAAAAACACTTTTTCGGGCAAAACTCCGCAGAAAGTGTATAGCTCAAGTATTTTCTACGTTATATGCGTCAGAAAGCTATATGACGACACTTTCTGGACTTTCTGCCAAATTTTAGCCCCTCTCCCCCAATTTTGAAAACAATCGGGAACCCTGTCTACTAGTATTATCGACTGATATGACTATTATTTATTTCGATCTGAATGAGATGCCCAGTGAAAATTTCAACAAGATTGAATAATTTACAATAAAAACAAATTTTTTACCTTAAGGTTTATCTCCTGATCTTCAAACAATGGAACAAATACGACGAATAATGCGGCCAACTGATGTACCTGATACTGGTATGTATAAAAACAAAAACAAAAGTCTTTATTTATTTTAATTTGTTTTATTTTTCTTAAAGGATTATTATGTGATTTATTATGGTATGTGATTTTTTTAGAAAAAATTGTTTTGTGATATTTCTCAATGATATTATTTAGGTCTGATCCTGATAAAGATACTCAAGGCTGGGGTGAAAATGATCGTGGTGTTTCATTTACATTTGGTGCTGATGTTGTAGCAAAAGTAAGAGATGAAAATTGTTTTTATTTGAATAAAATTTATTTGATATATTTATTCTAGTTCTTAAATCGACATGATATGGATTTAATATGTCGAGCACATCAAGTAAGAAGAAAAATATATAGATTTAAAAAATCTTATTTAAATTTATTTTGTAGGTTGTTGAAGATGGTTATGAATTTTTTGCTAAACGTCAATTAGTAACATTATTTTCTGCTCCAAATTATTGTGGTGAATTTGATAATGCTGGTGGTATGATGTCTGTTGATGAGACATTAATGTGTTCATTTCAAGTAATGTCTTGTATTTTTATTATTTAAATTTAATTTTTTCTGACCTACTTTTAGATATTAAAACCAAGTGAAAAGAAACCTAAATATCAATATGGCGGTCTGAATACTAGTCGACCATTAACTCCTCCACGAGCACCAACGGCTCCACCACAAACTCAACCTAAAATTGGAAAAAAATAAAAATTTATCATAGCGATCCAATTAATTATGTACATAAATAAAATCTTTTTTTTTCTCTTGTTTTTCTTTTTTCGAGCTTGTTTATTCATATCTTTTTCTTTTCTCCTCATACTGATCATTTAATGATATTTGATTTTTTCATTTTTTTTTCTCATACCGTCGTTTAATAATAGAGAAAAAGTAACGGATTTGTCGTTTTTCATACTATTGTTATATTATATAATATCATATAATCCTTTCCATCCAGTGTTTTTCAGTTTTTTTTCTTCTTGCTATCATAATTCATATATATTAAAGTAAAACGTTGGGTTGTTTTTTCTTCGTGTGCTCTTTGTTTTTTTTTGCATGTGTTGTTATGACTCGCCTTTTTTTGCTTGCTGATCATTTGAATAAAAGGAGACAGAGTGAGACAGATAATCGATTGATTTGTGATTCGAAATTACTACTGTAATTCAATTTTTTTGAGACAAAATAATACATAATTCAGTATTTTTAATTTTAATGTGAAGGAAGTATAATTCGTATTAATGTATAGAAGTACAATTACTTTCGAACTCATTTACAAGAATCTCCAGCACTACCACTACCTGTAATAATAATAAGTATGAAGTCTCATTACTTCATTGTAATATGTAATTTCTGAGACAAATAATTGTAGTCCTATACATTAATACGAATTTATATTTACTTCACATTAAAATTAAAAATATTGTACTACTGTAATATCTTGTGCCAAATAGTTCGTCTATTGGCATCGCTAATAATAGATCGGTACTGTTTGCATTTCGAGTTAGTTGTGATCATTCTATTTCAGTAATTTCATTTCGAAGAATATAAATAAAATACCAAAATTCAATAAGAATATATAAAGGAGATAGGAACGTATTAAAGTATTCAAAGCAAGAAGGCGTGAGGAGGTTATCTGGTAGATAACTCATAGAAACAGGGAGCAATGTAACTTCTCTAAGCTCACACCCTCAACGCCGGGAGCGGGCATTACGCCCCCTCACGCTCCTGAAAGGGGAATAAAAAATGAAACTAGAACTGCTGGATAAAAAGTAAGCAAAATATTAAAATTTGTATTTTTTTCCAAGGAATATTATTTACAGTCGTAAACATCTTTCGCATCGATTCATTATTATAATATTGAGTTTAATTTAAAATAAAGATTATCATAAGAAAAATGTTATTTATAATTTAAATAAATGTCGCTAAGAATTTGTTCTACATATTAATGTCTTTGTACTATTTTTAGTAATCATAATAGAACGATAGTGACAATATGGAAATATGTCTATTCTCATTAAATATCGACAAACTAAATTTATTCATTTAAAAAAAAGAGAATATTTTGTTTCTATAATGATATGAATTTTCTTCAATTACTTTTGCATGAAAAAAGAATTTGGTAATTCTTTTATTATATTTATAGCACGTTTTCTTGTACTTATTGATGCGTTTTTTGTAATATGTAGTAATTTAATCTAACTTATTTTTCTGTCTTGTCACTTAACAAATAAGATTTTGTTATAACAAGTCATACTGTTCTAATAAATCGAAATCTCATTCAAATATTTATTAGAATTCTAATTAATTCATACTCAGAAAACAAATGTCAGAAATTCTACAATTAGATATGTTATATTAAAATTTATACAATTACAAAAAAAGCGAACAAAACAAATATTTAGAAAAATATTCATGTGCAATTAAAGAATCATTCTGTGAATATAAGTGGTTTTAATCGATTAGATGAAATAATACTGTTACACAAAACAAAAAGGAATGTGAAGATATTTTTAATTATGTAAAGAATCTCTTTGAGAATAGGAAGACAAAATCATTCACATGCGAAATTGTTGGAAAATTTTATGAATTATTAAGTGATGATTTTTGAACAAGTTTTTGTAAACGTTCAATTTCAATTTGTAATGTAGCACGAACTTTTTTTTCTTCATCTAATTCATTCATAAGATCTTGTATTTGATCCGTAAATTTTAATTTCATATCATTCATTGATGATTTTAATTTAGTAAAATCTTTTTGTAATTGTTCAAGTGTTGTTGTAAATGAAGAATTAAGTGATTCAGTAGTACCATTTAATGTCGAATTATTTGTATTAGTTAAAGAAAATGAACGATTAGCATAACGAGGTGATTCTAATTGACCTGGTTCTTAAGAAATAAAAATAAAATGATAAAGATTTCTTTCGTAAAAATGTTTATTTCGTTGTTTTACCTCGTTGAAATAGTGGAGGAGATGGTGTATGTACTTTGTATTCATTCTAAATAGAAATTTTAATATAAGAAAAATAAAATAGAATTCAATTTTGACTTCAGAAAGGAAGAAGAGCGTTTTTATTTAACTGACAGAAATATAATTATATTTTTGCTAATATCTACATGACTATGAGTAGCTTAGGTACAGAAATAAATCAGAAAAAATCTCTATTGTATATTATAATTAAAATAGTTAACCTTAATATCATTCGAATGTGAATGATTTGTTTCATCATGTGAAGTAATAGTTTTGATTGGCTCCAATTCCTAGAAAAAATAGAATTATTCATTTAATTAACTAAAACAAAAATATAACAAACATTTTTTCTTAATGTTGCTGATGGTGGTCGTTTAATTGTTGTTGGTTTTTGTTTATTCATTTCATTTGCTTTTTCTTTTGAATCGAGATTATTATTATTTTCAACATGACGATTTCGTGATGATTGACCTATATGATGTTAAAAATAGACCTATTACTTTTTTTGTTTATTAAAATACCTTCATCATCACTAATTGATGTGGATTTTTTCGAATGATGAGGCTCATTAGAATAATTATGAGATGAACCTATGAAAAATAATACTCATTTATAAGACATACGATTTTGTTTACAAAAAGAAAAAGAAATCTTCATTACCATTGGCGGATTTAGTTTTTGATAATATCCGAGAAGGATGTTTTGCTGTATTTTCAGGTGTACTTAGTCGATGTTTGAGATTCTATAAAAAGAAAATATTTCTCGCGTGTTTTCTAACTGCAAGAAAAAAAAACAAACTACTGATGATGAAATTTCTTCGACATAATTATCTATAAGAAATAATTATAGTTAATTACTAAAAAAAAGAAGATTAAAATCTAACCTGGAAATACTCCAATTCGTCCATTAATTTCACCCTTAAAGGATAAAATAAAATAATTAAAATGTTTCTCCTACTTATTTTTTTACTATACATACTTTCCACCAACCATCATCTTCTAGATTTTTGTTAAGTATAGTTACAATATCATTAATTGTTAATGATAATTCATCATCAGCTGTTGCCTTATAATCATACAAAACTCGAGCTTTTGTTGTCATATGTTTCTTTGATGCTTCATTTTTAACGAGTTCATTAAGGCCATTCACATGTTTTTGTTTAGATTGTGGTTGGCTTCCCTTGGTTTTATGATCATCATGAATACGCGTAACATAATTAGATGGAAATAAACCAACTTTACCATTCAATACACCTTCATACCAACCTTCTTCAACCTAAAAAAAGATTTCAATTTGAGAAATAATTTCAACAAAAAAAACAAACAAACCAATTGAGTAACATTAATAGTATCATTTGGTTTTATAGATAATTCATCATCATGAAGTGGTAGATAAGTATAAACAGCTCGTACTTGAAATAATGTCCCATTTTGCGAAGCTATTATAAGAATAGTAAAATAAGAGTAAAGAAATCATAGAAAATTAAAAAAAACCGTTACGTGTATCATTAGTTGTCAATGATCGTTTTCGTAAGGTATCATTTTTATTTCCATTTTGTATTGTGGAAAACGTTCGAGTTTTGGCTTTTTCTTTATGTAATGGCTTTTTTTTTATTATACAATTAAATTATATTAAGATAAAAAGATCTTTAAAATCTACTTACTGTAACAAAATTATCCGGAAAATGTCTAAATAATGAAATTTAAGATTTGATTTAATAGAATATTAAACTTACCCAATCATTCCACGACATTCTCCTTTTAACCATCCATCTTCCGATGTATAAGCATCGGTAATAATATCTCCTTTTCGTATTGTTAGTTCGTCCGATGATTTAGCTGTATAATCATATTCAACAATATAAGTTCCCACTAGATCAGAAAAGAATTAATAAATTATTTTATTATTGAATAAAAATATATATATATATATCTTACTTTTCGTTTCTATTTCAATTCATTTGAAATAAAATCTTAAATGAATCAACTAGATGTGTATATCACACTTTCTATAGACATATATATCAAATAATAGAAGATGTCAAATGTCACGCAAACGAATGAATATATATATATACTATTCTGTTACTAAAGCGAACAAAGAAAGTAACAAGAGAGTAAGAGGAAAAAAAAACTAACAGCACTGAAGAGTAACTTCTCTCTTTCCATTCTATCCATGAACGCAACAGAGGAGAAGAAGAAGAGGAAGAATTCTTTTTTTTTTTTGAGAACGATAGAATGGTTGTAGAATAGAACAATTGATATATAATCATTCATAGAGATCGCTAGATGTCGATGATTGAACCACTTAGTTGCTACTTAGAGTTTGTTCGATTCTGAACATGATGAATAATAGTCACATGCAGAATCCAAAGTTTTGATAAGGTTAATAGTCTCTAATTATTCTTATTTTATTTTTTCAGGTATTAACTACGACAAAAAAGAAATTGTATATTTAAATATAACATATTAGTTATATAAATGAAGTATATAGGAACTACTTGAATATAAATAGGATAATTATTTCTTCATTTAAATTAAAGATAATTTTTGTATATTCAAATAATTTTTAACTCTTCAATATAACAATCTATTGAATTAAGAATATGTAGTGATTTATATGAGTTTAAAACTATCTATTTATTACAGCTCGTATAAAAAAAATAAAAGTTAGCTTAGCTAAATACAATAAAAATTTATGATTTATCGTTAATAACTGTAAGAACTACTTTTCCCATTGTTAAATTATCTTCCATATATTTATGAGCATCAGCTATTTGTTCCATTGGCCATGTTTTATCAATAATAACTTTAAGTTTACCATTATGAAAACCTTCCATAGCTTCATCATGAAATTGTTTGATTAAATTTGTTTTATATTCAGCTGGACGTGCACGTAATACAGTACCAGTAAGTGTAGTACGTTTTTTCATTAGCATACCAAGTGATAACTTATCGGCTTCAGTACCACTTTGAGCACTATAAACAACCCATTGTGCATCAGTACCAATAACTTCTTGATTAGATTCAACATAATCTTTTCCAATACTTTCATAAATTATATTAAAACCATCTTTATTAAACTCTTGTGTAAATTCTTTCATTGCATTTACCCATGGTCCATGTTTATAATTAATTGCTTTATCAGCACCAAGTTTTTTACAGTAAGCAATTTTTTCATTACTACCAACTGTTGTTGCAACTTTTGCACCAAATAATTTGGCTAATTGAATAGCTGCTGTACCAACACCACTTGCACCAGCATGAATAAGTACAATGTCATTTTTTTTAATTTTAGCAATAAATCTTAAACCTTGAAATGCAGTTAAAAATGTTTCAGGTATACCAGCAGCATCAATCATAGAAATTCCTTCAGGAATTTTCATAACACAACCCATATGTGCAGCAACATATTCAGCATAACCACCACCAGATACTAATACCATAACTTTATCACCATTTTTCCATTGTTGTTTTGCTTCATTACCAACATTAACAATTTCACCTGATGCTTCTAATCCCATAATATCTGTTACACCTGGTGGTGGTGGATATTGTCCTTCACGTTGCATTGTATCAGCTCGATTAATACCAAATGCATGTACTTTAATAAGAACTTCATCATCTTTTATTTTTGGTACATCTGCTTCACCAATATACAAATTATCACGTCCACCAAAACCTTTCAATAGAACAGCTTTCATTTTTTCTGGAATCGACATTTTATGTTGTTCGAAATAAATTATACGTAATAAAATGTACTTTAAACGATAGTTAGTTATTTGTTGTATTCGATATGTAGTTACAATAAACACCAATGAAATACAAGCAAATAAGACGTATAATCTAATCATAATATTATCCAACATTTACTTTTAAGAATCCATATGTTTACAGAAAATAATACATGTTGATTTACTCTATTCATATAGATTTAATTCTCATGTGTTTATTTTATCTTATATAGTGTTAATATAAATATTTGTTACAAAAAAAATCAATGAGATAAACATACAGAATTTTTATTCTCGAAAATAATAGTGTATAAAATTCAATGAAGATATAGACTTATAGGAAGTAATTCAAAATTTGATAACTCATATTATGATGTATCTGTAAATAAAACAATATCCGGCATATACTATCGTTTATACATTCTGATAGTTTTATTCTAAGCCGAACAGAGAGAAAAAATTAGATAATTAGGTCAAAAAATAATCAGTTGCAGTAACGTGATATTTTTAATCTATTGGAAAATATTCGACGCAAAATCGAAAGCGTTTAGTTCTACGAAATTTTATAGATTTTTATCGGGTGTCATTTAAGTGGTCAGAAGAATAGATGAAACGGTCAGTAAAACAAGAAATTCAAAAATCAGTAGAATTATTGAATGGTCAGTAAAGTAATGGTTGATCAGTGAATTATTAAAATGGTCAGTAATTAATTTGATAGGTCCATAATAAAATTTAAACGATCAGTAAATAAAATGAAATGGAAAGTAAAAAAATATAACTTGTACAAAGATATACTACCTTTCTTTTTTTTTTACTGACAGAATCATATTTTTTTACTGCTACTTCCGCAAAATCTACTGACCACTTTTGAATTGTTTACTGATTTTTTTGAAAACTGACCAATTAATATATTTACTGATATTTCAATAATTTTACTGACCGCAGAACATATTCCCATTTTCATCAAGTCTTTTTGTAAATAAAATTTCCAATGAAAACATACTGTATCACAGCTCAAGATAGGCATGAATCGTTCTAGCTAATACTTTAATAATGAGTGACATTTCATAAATATCGACAATCATATACAACTGTTTATTCTTAAATCTTGTAATACACAATTTCTTTAAATGTGAGACACATTGATAAAGAACGCCCTCTTTGTATTGCAGAGGTTGAATTCCATTTAAATATAATGGTGAAGTATAGTTATATAATTCACTTGAGTCGTTAGGTTATACTTCATCGTCAATGATTGACATTTATCTGTATGATGGTACAAAAATTAAATGTATTTATACACAAGATCAATTTTAAAATTATGTCTTCAACTAAGAGATAAAGTTTTTATATTTTGAATTTAATTTTTCTATTCAATAAAATGTACAATTATTTCTTTAATTATAAATAAAATATTGCAAAATTTCCAGTTTAATCTTTATTTTTTTCAATAAAGAAAACTATTAATTATTTAGATCATGACTTCTATTCCAATATCTATTAAATATGGTGGAACAACTTATCATATGCATCTTGATAATCAATCAGATATATCCAAATCCGAACAATTTAATCTGATAGCAAATCATATACATATACCATCGGATCGTTTAAAACTAATTTATAAAGGCAAACGATATACAAAAGAGAATTGGCATGATTTATCTTTAATATCAAATATGAATTTTTTAAGTATTGGAGAACAAAATGAAGATGAAACAAATATTGATACAAAAGACATCGAATGTATTATGCATCAATTAAAAGTCGATCGAAATACAGCTGTTCGCTCTTTAAAACTTCATCCGAATACTATAGATGCGATTTTATATTTAGGAAATAAATAAATAAATATACGAATAATTCCTAAAAACGATTTTTAGATGTCCTTAATTGAAATACGAGAAGGTTTGTCTTTATTTGATCATGCTTTTGCTGTTCATCAACAGATACCAGAATTTCAAATACATTCAACAGCTTATCAAGAATTATCCGAGAGAATAAATAATACAAAACATCCATTGATTCTTGTTGCTTATATTGATAATCAACCTGTTGGTTATTTAATAGGTTATGAACGATATTCATCATTTTATATTTGGCTTGCTGGTGTTCTTCCAAGTCATCGTCGACATGGAATACTTGTTCAATTAATGAATCAAACAGAACAATGGGCTATGAAAATAAATTATACTTCATTAACAATAAAAACACGAAATTGTTTCAAATCAATGCTGCTCTTTCTAATTTCACATGATTTCAAAATAATTGATGTAGATAAAAAACAAACTGTTGACAGTCATCGTCTTATCTTAGAAAAACAGTTAACTATTTCATAGTGTTCATTTTCTTTATGAAATAGATATTAAAAAGAAGCAATAAAATACATCTGTATGAAACATTTGAAATTTTACAGAGAACATATACGTATTATATATTAAAAAATCTCTGCATTGTTTAATAATTACGATTAAACTGACGACCATGACCACCAATACGTCCATCACCATTAAGATCCACACCTGTGGCTCTTTCTAATTGATCCACCATCATATCATTGTTGGGCCGATAAGGATTTGATCCATATCGAGGTCCTCCATTCTGATTAAAGTTTGGTTGATAATTATAAGAATTACCATATTGATTATTATTTATAGGATAAGGAGGAGGAGGCCCGTACTGATTATGGGGTGAGCCAGGACCTACGACACCAATTCGACCATCGCCATTAAGATCGTGACCTGTAGCTTTTTCCAATCGATCCACCAAAATATCATTATTGGACAGCTGAGGATTTGGTCTATATCCAGATCCCCCATACTGATTAAACTGTGGAGAGTAATTAGGACCACCTTGTTGACCATAATTTTGTGGAACTGGATGTCTACCCCCACCTCTTCCTCTACGGCTTTGTAAATTACCACGACCTTTTTACCAAAAACGATAAAATAAAGTTTTTATTTTCAAGTTCATACTAAGCTTATACCTGAACCACGATTTATACCTCTACCACCACCTATATAGCCATCTCCATTAAGATCTACACCTGCAACTTTTTCTATTTTATTTACTATACCTCCACCGCCTCTTGAACGACTGCGATCTTATTTATAAAATAATAAAATAAAATTTATATATTTATTTATTTTATTTAAATCTCATACTTGAACCAATTACACCATCGCCATTTAAATCAACACCCAGCGCCTTTTCAAGTTTTTTGGTTATAAAACCTATGCAAAGCAAATACTCATACTCAGATATTTTTTATTCAATTTTTTTCGATATTATCCAATACAAAACAAAGAATAATATATGGACTTACTCATTTCTTAATATTTATGCATAATACGAGATAAATACGTCGGATGATTTATATATATATATATACTTTTATTTTTAAGCAATAACAAAAGTACGTTTTTATTGTAGTCATAATTAGATAATATAACCAATGACGCGCGTCAATTCATATGAGTGAATAAACATAGAAGAATACTTACGTGGGTAGGACGGAAAGTTTTATTCAACGTAATACAAACAAGCATGAATATCATACTAAAGAATATAAATTAATTAAATAGAATAGGAAAGTGTAATGTTCGTATAAATATTTATTTATTTTCATTATGTATGACTAATTATATCAAGATAATAGAATACTGAAAATGATGCTAATACGATTCAAGTTTTTGACAATTATTTCTCTATAGAATTATGCACGCATTATGTTCCCATGTGATCGAAGCATTAAAAGATTAAAGTATAAAAAATATGTATTATAGTATCTGCTACTAAGCGAAATATATTGAACATGAAAATATCATTTTGATTACATGAAAAAGAATAGAATCTTACTGTATTATTAAAAGTGCTATGAAGAAAACGAATTCTTTCTACTTTCATCACTGAATTATGCTTTCTCTATTCATGAACAATATATCAGAAGTTATTCATCTTATTTTAGAAAAACAGTTAACTATTTCATAATTTTTATCTTTAGATCAGCTATGAGAAATGTAAATACATTATCAGAACTATTTCAATATGATTGTTAGGAAGTTTTATTAATTTATTTTAAGGCTTCAATAAATATTCATATAGTTAGAATGAAACTTTACAAAAAAAAAAGCACAGCTTTAGTATTAAATTTGTATATTGTTTTAATATTGTGGTCTGTATTGAGGAGGTTGACCCATGCCACCTTGTCCTGGATATTGACCAGGAGGTGGTCCATATCCAGGTGCGCCATATTGACCTGGAGGTGGTCCATAACCAGGCGCACCATATTGACCTGGAGGTGGTCCATAGCCAGGCGCGCCGTATTGACCAGGGGGTGGTCCATAACCAGGTGCACCGTATTGAGCAGGAGGTTGTCCGTATCCTGGTGCACCATATTGTCCAGGAGGTGGTCCATATCCGGGTGCACCGTATTGACCAGGAGGTTGTCCATATCCAGGTGCACCATATTGACCAGGAGGTTGTCCATAGCCAGGTGCACCGTATTGACCAGCAGGCTGTCCATATCCTGGGGCACCATATTGCTGACCTTGACCCGCAGCACCAGCACCACCAACACGTCCATCACCATTAAGATCCATACCTGTAACGCTTTCAAGTTGTCCTATCATACCTGCACCTCCTGCTGCTGTTCCATGAGGTTGTTGACGGCCAGAACCTGTTTTTGAAGAAACGAAATAAAATTCATTCATTCATGCTTTTTCATATTTGCAAACCTGAGCCGATAACACCATCACCATTCAAATCAATACCAATTTTTTTTTCAAGTTGTTTGGCTATAAAACCTATTTAAGAAGAACATTTATATTATTTTAAGTTATAAACAATTCTTTATTTTTCCCACAAATCTTGTCATAATGTTTTACGTAATATTGTAATAGTATTTTTATTAATCCATAAAATTTACAAAGTTTTTATTATCAACAACTCATTCTATTAGCTTTAACAATAGATTATCAAAAGTTTAAGTTTTATATAATTTAAGTTCATACGATATATTCTGTAGAGCAACTTAATGACCGATATTAAATAGAAACTTACCACCAGCCATTTCTGAATTTTAATAATAATAATAAAAAATAAACGTGTCGATTTTTACTATTTATTCATACTTCTTGCTTAGTAATAGCAAAATTTTATTCTCTCTTTCTCTCAAGTAAACTTGTTTTTCTCTTATTCTTATTTTTCTTTCTTTTACTTTTTATACTGTAACGGCATATAACATTGCATAAGAGAACACTCGCGTGGCATTGGTTTATGAAAAAATTCTTCTCTTATTTTATGACGTTATTTTCTGCTGCTGTTTAGTTACTTTCTTTTCTTTCATGTATTAAATAATATATTTGCTATTAAATGAAGCCGCTAAAATAAAATTGAGTATAGAGAAGAAAAACGAAAAGGAAAGTTCTTTTTTTAACTTCTTCATTACAAAAGTTACATCACCAAATCGAAAAAATTTCAATTTCTTCTATTTTAATATTTTAATATAACATTTATCGACTGAAAATGTTTGAAAAATCCGAATTTTACTTTAAAATACAGAAAAATATCTGGAGTCACTTGTATTTTAAATAAACAAATTTCAGGTCATTTGAGAATTGTTTGTATATTACACTATAGGTAAAAGTTGAAAAAATAACGAGAATTAGAAGGAAAATTCGAAGCGAAAATTTTTGCAGAACTATAGGAAAAATATTAAGCTCTCGTTGACATTTGTAATGAATAATGTTTGATTTATCAAAATCGTATATTTAATAATGTGTGGAAAATTGAATTTAGTTATTGACATTCGATTTTGAAAACTTCAGTTTCAAGTATTCAACTATCTCATAGGATGACATGTCTACATAAAAATTTACTCAAGCAATAGTAATTATTACATTGAAATCTCGATATCATCAAGAGAAGAATAACGAAAGACAACTTAATCTATCATTGTCTTGTTTCGAATCACTTGTCCGATAAAATACTAACTAAATGTAATATTCATCAACGTGTGAGAGTAGTTCGAATGATTAAGAATTAGAACTACAACTAAGAATATCGATAAGACAATATTTTCTGATAGGAAATCAATATTTTTTCTTTTGTTTTATAGGATTATTCTTTATTTTTTTAATGAAGATAACAAAACGATAAGAAAAAGTTTAATTCTTAAAAGTATTGTGATTGTGAATGTTGACTCATTGAATAATCAAGATTATTCGCTTTTGCTGTCAATGCTTTTGTTGCATAATGTTTCTGTTGTTGTTGTTGTTGATATTGTGAATGATCACTACTACTTGAACTTGTATAAGTTCGAAAAATTTTATTCGATATTTCTGTTGTTTTATAATTTGCCGCTTGTAATTGCCCTTGAAGTTTAAGTATATGTGTATAATTTGGTTTTCCATCAAGTAAATTTACAACTTGATTAATAAAAGTAAATAATTTATCTACTGTTCGTTGTGATAAACGACGTTGAAATATACTACGATTATGAATAATTTCATGAAGAATATTAAATAAACGATCTATCGGATCAATCAAAGATATATTAGTTGTAAATTCACGATCATAATCATCATTTATTTCCGTGTTTTCACAATATTGACAAAGATGAATACATATTTTATCCAAAATACGTGAAACACAAGAATTTGATGAAGCTAAACAATATAGAATTTATTAGAGTATATATATATATATGATTTACCTAATGAAATAATCATTTGATGAAGATAATAAACATTCTTATCCAAAGTATGTTCAAGTATATTAAGTATACAATCAAGAAATTTATCAATTATTGGTAAAAGATCAAGAACAATATGATATGGTTTATCATTATCAGTTTTAAGATGATTTGCAATAATTTGTATTGTATAAAGACATGCATCTATTGGTAATATTTGATGATGATGATTGATATTTGTTGTTGTTATCCATTTAGTTAATACATTAAGTAAAAATTCAATATCATCAATTTTAATTCGATATTTTTTATCTTTTAATTTCAATACTTTTTCAGCAAATTCACCATATTCATATTCATTTGTTAATTTTTTATTCATATCATTCTGATCAGATGATATAATACTTAAATCCATAAATGAAATACTTGATGATAATAATGAATGAGATGAAAGAAAACGAGATAAAACATCTTGTTGACGAAGAATAAGATATTCATTAAGAAGACATACAAGTTGAGTTGAACGATTAGATCGAGGAAATAATCGTTTTGATAAACTACGTGTAAATACATCTGGTTTAATACCGGATGGTGTATTACGAATAATTGCTAATGCTAATGATAATTTTTTAAAGAGATCAACATTAAGTACTTGCACATCCATGAATTCAATTGATAATTCCCCGATAAAATAAATATAAATCTAATATATACGAACGCCACTTATTAGAAGATAACCAATAATGATTAAGATAGTTTTATATACGAAAGAGGACACTGGAGATTTGAGAGAGAATCAATAAAATTATAAAGATACGGATGATTCTTAAAAATAGATTTATTTGTATACTATCATAGAATTAAAAACAACATAAATAGAGTTTTTCAAGAGAATACATTTATAAAATGAATTCGTGACCAAGTTAATATATTCCGAGTAAAATAGTTCTGCGAAATAAAACTTAAAATGCAAATATTCGTAGATGTAATATTAGATTATTAGTAGTTGACTTTATTATTTATTAATAAAAAGAAATATTAAACTTCTTCGATTTATATTCATATCAGTTTTTTTAATTATATAATATTATCTTATATACTTACCTGAAGTTGGAGACCTGCACAGAGTTAAGTAAATTTCATGTCAATAATTCAACTTTAATGTTAAAAATTATTTAAGTTCACAGTTTTGTTGTCCGACATTTTCTCTATAAAAGTATGTATTTTGAAGGATAAGTCGATGGTTTGTTGAGCGTCACCAACACAAAAGAAAATCGTAGTCACTTTCGACTCCGACTTTTTCTGTATTTTATTTTGGTTTGTGAGACTCGATAAGACGTCTGCCGATCCTTCAAAATACCTAATTTTATAGAGAAAATGTCGGACAACAAAACTATAGACTTAAATAATTTTTAACGTTAAAGTTGAATTATTAACATGAAACTTACTTGACTTCGAAAATGACTCCGTGCAGGTCCCTACCTGAAGTAGTGAAATGGACGAGAATAATGTTTAAAATCGAATCTACTTTTTAGTGATCATTTTGTCAATTACATTATGATTACGATCATGCGAATAATTTTATCATATCAATCGAAAATATTTATGAAGAAAAATGTTATGATTTCATTATGTATTTATCAAAGAAATCATAAGACTGAGATATTTCTTTTTTCATGCCAAAGTTCACTTTATTGTAACATTACGAATACTCAACAAGTGCCAGTTTTATCTCTCTCATTCGGAATAAATAAAGTACATATCAGCATCATTACCCAACAGGTATGTTTAAATTTCCTGAAAAAAGTCGAGTAAATTACTTTTTATGAAACTATATCTGTCAATAGTCTACATCAAATAGTGTATTGATTACAATCTTGTTAATTTTTTTATCAGAAAGTATATCTCAAAAGATTGAAAGATTATTTGAACAATCCAATTTATCAAGATAGAATATCTGTCTGTTGATTTCAATATAAGAGAGAAAAAAAATACTGTCTACAAAAAACTGTTGTTACTCATATTACAGACAGTTTAACTGGAAAGAATATAGTTCGGATAGGTATAGATAACAAAAATAAAGCTAGAAACTAAAGAAAGAAATCACACACACAAATGAGAACAATTACGCTAATGACAATAACCAAAAACGCATTATACACATAAAATGCGCTCTAATGTTCTTATTCAATGTTATTAAAAAGCAAATAGAAGCCTAAAAGAAGAAAAAAAATAATAATTATAAAATAATTTTAATAATTAATAAACTTACATAAAAGCCATCATAAGACAAAATAGTCCCATAGCTTCTGAGAGAGCAAAACCAAGAATAGCATATGAAAAAAGTTGTTGTTTTAAACTTGGATTACGTGCATAAGCAACTACTAATGAACCAAATACTGTTCCAATACCTAAATAAAAGAATTTTGTTTTTACTTTTATCATAATAATACATTCAAATATCTACTAACCTGCACCAGCACCAGCTACACCGACGGTTGCTGCACCAGCTCCAATATATTTAGCAGCTGAATCAATATCACGACGAATTGTCGATGTGGTTATTGTACGATGAGATGGTACTATAGCTGATGTTAATACTGGTAATTGTTGTTTAAATATAATTTGTCGATTTGCTAATAATTGACCAAGACGACATAAAGCCGATGGTGTTGATAATGTTAAACGGGTTAATGATGCCATATGAGAAATTTTCAATTAAATTTCGTAAAAAGGACAACAAAAATATAATGATAATAACAATATGCGAGTAGTAATGTTTGTGTTCTATATACCATTACGAAAGAAACAAACATAGATTTAAATAACAGATGTCACTGTTAGAACGAGAAAAAAAAATATTTTATTAAAATTATAAATAATTCGTATATTTTCTTAGTTTTTTATTTAAATAAAATATTTTTTTAATCATAAATTTATGATTAATATATTTCAGTAAACTACGGATAGTTATGGATTGAAATAGAAGACTTTTTGACGTTTTTGATGTATTATATTATTTACTTTATTATTAGCTAGTTTCATATGTCTTTAGCTCAAATTCGCGAGAAAAATGCTATGTAATTAGGGTATGTTTTTCCTTGATAAATAAAATATAACTAGGAAATATAATATTATATATAATGAGATTTATATATATTCAACTCTATAAACTTAACCACTTCATTTTAGTAGTCGTAATTATCTACAGACAATTAAATTTGTAAAGACTATAGTTTGTTTAATGATGAATATAAAGTACTAGAATTTATGTTAAACTATCATCAGCAGTTTTTAAATAGACATTAACAGTATAATAGAAAAAATTCTCAATATTTATATTACTCTTAAATAAATATTTTATTTGCATTTATTATCAATCATCTTGTATTAACAAAAAAGAACTTGAACGTTGACATATTTAATCTCGTACGTTTTTTTGTTATTTAACTAATGACATATCGGAAAGAAATGACTATTTTTAAACTAAAGGTAATAAGAAATTTTCTCATTCTGTTTTGTTTAACAAATAGAGACATTTCGAAATATATACTTTTTAAAATATGTTACATACATTATAAATAATTAAATATCCATTTTTTAACTTTATTGCGTTTGTTAATATAAAAAAAAACTTAATTTTTCTATTTAAAATATTCTCATATGACTATTTCATCGTCATATTTCAATACGTGTTAAATGTCACGTTAGATATGAAAAAAAAGAAAGAAAGAAAAGACTTCATAATACTTTGACATCACATATGATTATCTTTTTTAGATCTTATAATTTAACTTCTTTCGATGTTCCTAACATTATTAAGATTCATTATAAATAATATTAATGGTGAGTAATTTGTTTTTTCTTATTAAAAAATAAAAATAAAATTAGTCTACATGTTTCTTTTCTTTTTCTATATAGATATTTAGTATCCATATAATGTAATTTGTTCATCTTGTTGAACTATTACATAATAATATTTCAAATTTAGTAAGTATAAAATATTATATAAATTTTTAAAAACAAGACTAAACTATTGAGAGTTCTTTATTCATATCTATATTTATCAAAAACAGATGCTATCCTAGCCTTATTTTATTAATAGTATATTTAAATTTTTACTTTCATATAAATATCTAATCAATAAGAGTATTTAAATGAGAAAAAGAAATTCAATTTTTAAAGTATTCTTCTTATTTAGATAGTAAATATTAGCTCATGCCGATACTCAATGTTAACTTGTGCTTCTCTAGTCAAAAGTTACGCACTACGATTATTACTAATATTCGTTAGTGCATTAATAATCAAATGTGATGGTAAAAAATAGTTTAGAAGAATAGAATAAGTTATGAAAAATTTTTTTCTTTATTATAGATTTAAATAATCACTTTAATATAAAAGAAAAACATTACTGTCCATTTATTGAAACTTTATCTTTCGGATCAAATATTGATATAAAATGTAATAATACTTATTTAATATTTAATGAACTAAATGTGAGTATCATAAAGTGAAAAAGAACATTATTTTATAATTACATGTATATATATAGAATAATAGTTTGAATTGGAAATTTGCTAATCAAAGTTTATTTTGTCAACAAAAAGGCAAACAAGAAGCATTTGTTAATCAATGTAATATAACTCGAATTGATTCGAAATATTTAAAAGTTCCAGTTGTAAATTTATACTTCAAATATTATTATCATTTATTCAATTGACTCTTCTTTTTTAGGTATCATTAGATCATTATGAACATGCGTGTATATATTGTCCAATAAATGTAATGTATCATAAATTCTAAAATAAAAATTTATATAGAAAATTATATCTAGTATAAACCAATCTCACCTATGATTCACGTTACTCAGCTTGACGATGATTATCAGATAGTATATACATTTAATTTAACTACTAATGAATTAGGTAAAATAGAAAGAAAAAATTTATTATATATACATAATCTGATTCTTTTTTGTATTTTAGCCGAAGATGAAGCATTTGAAATTTTATGGGCAAAACGTTCTGGACCTATTGAGAATTCATTTAATTATTGGTTTTTAAAAGGGTATAGAATCCTTTAAATGATTTATTTCTATTTATTTCTATTATAGATGTGTTGCTCCTGATGTACAGATTCATGAAGATACTGGCCATACAATCATATTTGATGTTAATGATATTTCAATTGATAGAGTTGAATTTATTATTCGTCGTTGTAATCGCGTAAGTATCGAAAACATATGAAAAGAAAAATGAGATGAAGCTTTTTTTTGTTGTTGTTATAGTTTTGTCGACGTTATTTAGTATGTGATAACGATGAATTTTACAATGAATTATCCTCAAATAATTTCCTTACACCAGATTCTATTGAAAAAATTAGTTGTGATTATAATTGCTTGAATGGCATAGTTCATTCAACAACAATCAATAATATTGTACAAGATGATAAATTATTAACACCAAATCAATTAATCAATAGAAATCATACAATAAAATTTTTAATTTTATTTCCTATTCTAGGATTATTAATGATAGTTTTATTTATAATATTCGCTTTTTTTATTATTTATCGAATGAAAGGTAATTTTTATTTTATACAAAAAAAAAACTTATGTTTTTTCATATAGTTTTACGAAGACAAAATGTATATACGAAAACAGACCATATTAATGTTGATGACAACAAATGATATATGAAATAATGATTCTTTTATTAGTTTTTTTTATTTCTATATCAAATGAACTAAATGTTCATGTTGTTATAATAAAGAATAAATAATGTCTTTTGTTCTTATATATGTCTTTGTATACATCCGGTGAATTCATTTTGTTTTCCTCTTCTTTCTTTTGGTAAATATAAATACAAATAATAGAAAGAGAGAGAAAAAAAGAAGAAGAAGAAGAAGATCTTAACAAATTTGATTTCTTGTTTTGTTTATTTTAGATTATTTGAAGAATAATTTCAATATGTATCTATATTAAAATAAAAACGACCAATAATATAACAAGTATTAATCTATGTTGATCATTTTTGTCGTAGGATTTAATGCAAATAATATAATATAATGTTATTTCTTTTTTTTTCTCTTCTCATATATAAAGAAGTCTCATCAAATAAAAATTAATTCTTTTCCTTTGTTAACAAAAGACCATATATATAAATAGTATGCAAAATTATCACACTATAATACTCACTAACTTCCAGTATATATTAGTATTTTCTATGGATGCTCACGCATGAGAGACGATGATTTTTTTAATGTAAATCCTGATTCATAAAAGTTTAGCTATGTCAAATATTCATGACTTTGAAAAAGAGCAAATGAGCTCAGAGTATTAGTGATAAAAAAACAACAGCACTTTAGGAAATACGCTAGTAATCCTTTCTTTTTTTTTATATATGATGAGACGCAAAAAAAAAAAAAGAAAATAGATGCATCACTGGAATACATAATGATAAAGTTTGATTACGTCACGAGATTTTTTTATCTGTCTAACAGACATAAACAACTAACTTAGTCTTTCTATTTCATGTTATTTTTTCCCTCTGTTCTTTTTCATGCGTTCGTTATATAGTGACAGTTTTCCTTTGCCTATCCTCTTGTTGTCGTGTTAATGACTGTATGCGTGCGTATGGATAGAACTCGGGGTTTTTGTCAGATAGTCGACATCATTTATTTTTCTTTCTTTTTTTCTTTAGCTATTACTTCTATATTTCAATAAAGCAGACTGAGTAGTTGACGTTGTTGACATCGTTTCCTTCTTTTTCTTTTTTGTCTTATATTATTATAAATAGTCGTGCTTTTGTCAACTTTTCTATTCTTTATTTCTATGTAAGATATAGTAGCCATTAAGTAATTGGGTAGTTAACAAAAGAAAAATCGTATCTTTTCTTTCAAGTAAGTTTATCAAACATATTTTAATTGTTAACAAACACTTATCAACTTGATTTTAATCGAATTTTTGTTTTTTTTTTCATTTGAAAAATTTATTATTATAAAAATAGACAAGTGGTACACAAGTAGTTGACAACTACCACTTGCTTTTTATCAAATACTACTCCTCTTCGTTCTATTGGATGATGCCAGATGCTTTTTTCTTTTTGCAGGACATTATTTATTCGCTCTATAGATTAATTAATAGTCATACTATAGTTAGTACTAAACATAAAAGAACTATAAAATTAAATGAATAATAAAAAAGCATTGGACATGTTTGACGTCAATAGTATAGATAAAGAGTACTTCCTGAATGGATCATTATTTAAATTTTTCTTTCTATTATAATGTGAAGTTTGTCTTTTTTTTTTGATTCATTAGATTTTATAATTTCATGGAAGATCCATTAGAAGAATGTTCAAGAAGTTCTTTATCATTGAACGGTATTGATACACGTGATAGTAATTATATATATAATCAAAATGACAATAAAAGTCTTAAAACAACAACAAATTTTACAGTTACCAATACGTCAGCAACGACGACATTTTGTATGCTTATAAATGGTCGTCGTATTCAACAACGATATGAATTATTGATTGATGGTCTCGTACAAGTGTGTCGTGTTCCACATGCAAGAAATATTATAGAAAAAATTCGTTTCTCTCGTTTTCTACGTCGTTGGGAAGATCATCATATTAATCTTGTACACAATGAAATTATATCTAAAATAGTTTGTTTTTTCATTTTTAAATATCAATAATTCATTTTTGTTTGTCCTTCTAGCCTGAAGGTTATATGGATAGACCAATACTTTATTCGTCTATAGAAGATATATCAATATGGTCAAAAACAAAAATGATTGACTCGGATTGTCATTTTTATCTTCGACTTGTTACGAATGAATGTGTTTATTTTTTTCAAGTAAAACAATTTTTTTCTTTTGGTTTTTTGAATTTATTTTTACAATTTATTTTTAAGGTTAATACAATACATTTACGAGATCAATGGTTATATTCAATTCAATGGAAAGTAAGTTATTCTATATTCAAAAAAAAACGAAATATTTTCTTTTGTTTTTGTAGAGAAATAAATCAAAATTTGAACGAATTTTACGTTCAGCTAATCGTCCAGAAATATTATTACGAGAAATGACAGTAATTATTTCATAATAATAATCATTTGAAATTTAATTATTTTTTTGTTAGAATATGATTGATTTTGCAATGACAATACCGATTGAAAATGTTGAAATACATCATTTTCCACTTGAAATTATTTCGGAAATTCTTCAACAAGTAAAATTCATAAATATTTCTTTTCATGTATTTATATTCCATTATCTAGCAACAGTTTAATTTACCTCGATTTGTCCATGAAAATGTGATTGTAGCATTAGCGCCGTTACTTGAAAAGAATTATCCATCACCGGAAATATGTGATTTTTTTACTCGAGTAAAACATAAAAGAAAATTCTATTATTATTATTATTCATAAATATTTATTTCGTTTAGCATTGTCGTGATAGTCCACGTTCACATATTGTTATTGAAATGTTTACACCTGTTATTCAAAGAATTTTAAAACATAATACAGTAGGCTATTTTCTATCAATATTTTCTTCAGAAAAATAATTATGATATGTATATATAGGATTTTGGTAAATATCCACGAATGAGAATATTTATTCAAGAATATTTAATAGCACTTAATTCACAAAATGATGGTTTACGAGCTGTACAAGATTTTATTAAACGGTATTACGAGAAAAAAAAATACAATTAAATATTTCTATTTATGTATGTTTATATAGAATACATGGTCCAACAATGATCTGTCCGTTTCCACGTGTTTTATCAAATTTTGTTTCTGTTTGTCTTGCAGCTATTTATAATTTTTTTGAAGATCGAAAAAAGTAACAAAATATATATATATATATAGAATTTTAAATCATTTAATTTTTAATTTAGTTTTAAATATGAAGATAAAGAAACTTGTCGAGCATATGAAGAAGAAACTGAATGTCAATTAGTCTGTTATACAAAAATGTTAGAAACAATGTAAGTAATTATTTGAAAAAAAATAGAAACATATTCAAGGTAGATTTCCGTAGTATATTAAAGAGAAATAGAGCATAAAGAGTACAATCGAGTACTCATAAATAGATAAATAAAAAACTACCTTCGCGATTGTATTACTCATGCAATTCATAAGAGATTTGATTTTTCTTTTAAGAAAAGATAATTTCGAGCATTAATAATCATCACAGTTTTTCATATATGTCCCTAGTTAATTTTCCTACGCATATTTTGTTTAACAGGACTTTATTCTGTTGATATAGTCCATTTGAATACTCAAGAGATTTTCTAAATATCTTATTGCATACATAAAAAGACGCCTACAATAAGATTGAATCGATAGTCTTTTAATTATCTCTTCAAATAGAATTTGCATTGTTCGATAATACATATATCTTTTAAATCAAAAGAATAGTCTATGCTTAGTATAATTATTCTGGTCTAACACACAACATATTTAATAGTCAATGGAGGATGCAAAAGCAGAACATGGCGTTGAGTATTTCCTCAATTTAATCATATTTTTCTACCCACACAAAAATAGTAATATGCTAATGATATAGACGAGTAGACTATTAATATAATATTATTAGTTAAGATTGTACATATTTTCAGGTCTACATTTGATGATTGGAGACCACATCTTGGTTTACTTCTTCAATCAATTCCATTTCCTGATGAAGCTTTATCACATGATCGTTTTATTGAGTAAATTTTTCTTAATTAGAAAAAAAAACAACTGAATTCTTATATATATTTAAAATTTTTTAATAGAATATTTAAAAACGTCGTTAAACATTTCGTTGAAGATACTCGATGTGAAGTACATCAAACAGTATTAGGTATTCGAGAAGGAAAAGAAGGATGGTTTGAAATGTTTTGTCTAAGTGGAATTGCATGTGATGATGATGGTGAAATGTTTTCTCTTATGGTATATTTGAATAAATTCATTAAAAATCAATATAATGAATTACTTTTATTATTATTTTAGTTAAGTAAATTAATTTCATGTTGTTGTCGAAAAAAACGATTTTTAATAAGTATTAATAAATTATTACCAGCATTAATGTTACTTGCATTACGTGAAAATCAAAGTTCATTAGAAGTAAATTATTTAAAACATCGAAAAAAATAAAGGAATTCTTCTGTTTATTTAGACTCTATGTGCTATGCTTGATTTAGATGCTGTAGAAAATCGTGATAATAAGTTACAATTAATTTCAACATTACAATCAACATCAACTGGTCTTAAAATGTATGCAAAAGTATGCGAAAGACAAATAGCATTAAGAGAATTACAGCAAAAAGGTGGACCAAGAAAATTAACGTTACCATCACGTTCAACAGATAGTGATTTAGCAAAATTATTATCTAGTGGTTCATTTGGAAATCTTGAATGTTTAAGTTTAGCATTTACAAATGTTACAAGTGCATGTGCAGAACAATTAATTAAATTACCAGCACTTAGATATCTAAATTTATGGTCAACACAGGTAAGAAAAAAATTTAATAAAAAAAAAAAATTAATGATAAAATGTTTTTTAGTTTGGTGATGCAGGTTTAGAATTAATTTCTGAACATTTAAATCGATTACAAGTACTTAATTTATGTGAAACACCTGTAACAGATAAAGGCTTAGCTTATTTAACTTGTAAATTTCTATACCTTATGTAAATATGTTAATCTGAATAGATATTATTTTTGTTTAGGTATGAAAATGTTACGAAAACTTAATTTAAATTCAACACATCTATCACCATTAACATTTGAAACTTTAAAGGTATAGATTTGATGAGTTATTATTCATATGAAAGGGGATTATTTTATTTAGGAAAAATTACCAGCATTACAAGAATGCGATATACGATATACGGATGCGTGGTGAAAATATTACTGTTTTTATGTATATTATTAAATTGATTGAAGAATCTCTTGTATTATTATCCTCAAAATGGAAACATTTATGTCAGTCAGATGCATGTTTAATGGAGTTTTGTTTGTTTTTTCTTTATGTGTGAATATATATTTTTTCAGACAGAATTGATTATGTATTTATGTTTTTTTTGTTCTTCAATTGTGCAGTATTTTATTGTTATTACAGCTTTCAAAAAAAAAAAAGGATCTGTTTTGTTTTTTTTTATGCTTGTAAGATATCTAATAGTGTGCATTACTATCAGTCATTGATATGAATTAATTTGTATATTTGTTTTATTTTTCGTGCATTAATTTCAAAATTATTGTTCATCATTCAATCATTTTCTTTTTCTTGTTTTTTACATGAATAATAAAAATGAATAAAATCATATACATTCAAGATTTGATACAAATGATGATGAAAAAACTATTATTTTTCTAGAAAAAAAAATGTGGAATATTTGTTTAAAACGTTTATCATTTGTAATATTTTCTCGACGAACATTATCAACAAATAATAATACAATTATTGATAATGTTATAAAAAATTTATCATTAAATTATACGAAAGAATTCGATCAATTAAAAACTAATGAAAATTCAATTGAAAGAATTCAATATCTTAAAACAATTTTACAAACAATGAAAAAACGTGATAAAATTTTACAAGATATTCATGAAACAAATAAACTTTCCAATGGTAAAATTCAATTCTAATATTATAAATTTATGACTAATTAGATGGATAGTTATTAGAATGAATTCATTAGTAATGACGTCAGTCAAAAATTTTTTTTTGAATACTATTAACATATGGACTCGATTCATTTTAGTACTCTATATGAGAGATCATAGTTCGTGAGAGTACATTTTATTAACTTGTACTTCTAGTACATCGATTATTTATGTATTAATCCTTTCCGTCTGATTCCTAGCAGAGGGTATTTAAAAAATATTTTCTTATATTTTTGTTGATCATGACGTAAAATTTTCTAACTTTCTATTTGTTCATGAAAATAATATAAGAAAGACAAGAGAAATACATAGAAAAACAGCAACAAAGAAGATTTATAACTATGTCAAAGAGACAATTCATTCGTTATGATAGTCTTTGAAGCAGTTATTTCTTTCATGTAAACACAGCGTAATGAGTATTTCGAGCATGAGATTATTGTGTACCTAGCAGAGCCTGAAGAGTGGGTGGGTGTGAGTATAGGTGATATAAATCTGACATATCCACATCCACACCAGTTTGACATCATTCTCCTTGCTTGACAAAGACTTTTTGTTTATCAAAAAATTCTTTGACAGAACACGTCTAACTTTGTTTATCTCATCTTCAGATTCTGATGAATCTACTTCGTGAGAGTGGGTGTGGATGTGGGTGTATCTTATTTATAACACCTACACCTACACCTACATCGACATCCTGTTCTGAACGCATGAATCAGCGCTAAAATATCTACATATAATTATTAAATAAATGATAAACTATTGCTAAAAGTCAATTTTGAGCAAATTATTAATTCAATGTTGCCATATGGCAATACACGAACGGAAAAAGTTAAGCTTTCATATCCTGTCACATTAAATAGTTATACTTTAATAAACCTTTTTTTGGCAGTTTGTTTTGTAATACGTGAAACGAACTAAAATTCATTAATGACATTTTTTCAAAGTATAAATAATTATTTAATTTTATTATTATTATGTAGAAAGTAACGATGATGATGATATTTCTCAAATGGCTACCGATGAACTTGTTCGTTTAAAAATAAATTTAAACTCAATTGATAATGAAGTGAATAATGATCTATTTTATTCAATAGAATATTTTTTTGTTCTTATTATTATCCATAGATTTTAGATTATGTTTTACCAAAAGAACCCGCTGATAATGATGATGCTGAAATTGAAGTAGCAGCTGGTGTTGGTGGTCAAGAAGCAATGTTATTTGCTAAAGAATTATTTCATATGTATGAAAACTATGCTAGTTTTCGTAAATGGTCATTTGAAATAGTTGAATATGATCAAACAGATATTGGTAGAAATAAATATTTTATATAATGAATAATTTAAATTTTCCTAATTATAGGTGGTCTTCGTCAAGGAAAAGCATTTTTAAATGGTTTAGATGTATTTAAAAGTTTAAAATATGAATGTGGAGTTCATCGAGTACAACGTGTGCCACAAACAGAAAAAAGTGGAAGAATTCATACAAGTACAGTTATGGTTGCTGTCTTACCTCAACCGAAAGATGTAAGTTTAGAATCAGATAAATTTGTGATGTTAGATGAAGAATTATGCTTTTTACAAAGGATCGTGACGGAATCAACCCCTTCCGTGGACAAGCCGAGAATAGTCAAAAATTAAACTAGTCTTTTCTTTTCAGTACATTTATCTTTTATTTGATATAGTAATTTATTTTGTTTTAGATTAAAATTGAACTTCCGGCTAAAGATTTATTAGCTGAACCTATTAGAGCGCGAGGTCCAGGTGGTCAACATGTAAATAAAAGTGAATCAGGCTGTCGTTTAACACATTTACCAACCGGTAGAAATTATTTTAATTTATTTATTTTGAATTAAATACAATTTTTTATTTCTAGGAATTATAATTGAACGACAAGATGATCGTTTTTTTAATTCAAATAAAAATATTGCAATTAAAGCAATGAAAAACAAGTAACAAATCATTTATACATCTTTATTATTCTCAAAAAAAAAATTTTCTTATTATATTAGACTTTATCAAATGCAATATGATGAACAACAAGCACGATTATTAAGAACACGTAAACAACAAACAGGTACTGGTAATCGAAATGAAAAAATTCGAACGTATAATATTCAACAAAATCGTATAACAGATGAACGTCTTGATGAAAATGCTCATAATGTTAATGAATTTCTTAATGGTACACATCGTTTACATACGATGATTGAACAACTTAAACAACAAGATAGATTACAACGTTTAATTGAATTAACTGATAAACCTTCGAAATAAGTTAAAATTATCTTTGTCTTTTTTTCTAGATGGAACAGGAAATATTATATTTAGTTAATAAACAACTTCAACAAGCATTTTCAAATGCATTGACTTGTTTAACACAAACATCTTCGTTAGATCGATCATTACAATCTAATATTTTAGTACGTTGTCGATCATTAAGTAATCATCGAAAAGTATCATCTCATAATACAAATTCACATTGTTCATTACCGATAACAACAAAGGATTTTATTTATTATGAAACAATACCAAATATAAATCGTAGTAGATCAAACAAAACAGTTAATGTGCAATATTCATTCAGCCTTAATCAACCGCTATTAACGAAACTCAATGAACAACAACAAAATCTCATTAATATACAAAGTTATGTCGATGAATTAATTCACCATTCTATGCGAACTGTTTTATTACAGGTTTGTTTGAAAATATTATTTCTTCTTTTTTCCTTCAACAAACAAACATATAGATCAATAATCAAGTATCCATGAATGAAGATGATACATCGTATTCAGCTGAAACTTTTGAAGTGATTGATTCATATATAGATGAATTTATTCATTTCATTATTGAACAAACAATTGAACTTATTACATCTTCCGATATCGAACATATATCAAATCAAATTGTAGAAAATATTATTAACAGTGCATTGTCAACTATAGCTAATGATAATGAAAATAATTATAGAAAAATAAACGAAAATTCATTACCATTAGAAGACAATAAACAATCGATTGATTATTTTCTGAATGATATTGCTCAACGAATTTATACCGATTCATTCAATCAATTAAAACAGTAACTAAATTAGAAAACAGAGCTCCGCACGAGACATGCGAAGCTCTGTTAGGAAACTATTTACTTATTCTTTTTTTTTGTTCTATTTTTAGAATACTTATCAAAGACAATTATGATAACAACAACTGACAAACTGCGACAATGATTTGTTTTTGTGCATCTATAGATCTAATGTTTTTTCTTATCAGTGATAATAATGATAAAAATAAATTTTATATAATTTTTTATAATTCTAAATAAGATAAAACAAACTTTTTTTTTCTTTACTATTATTAAAGATTTGAAGAGATCGATTATTATATTCCCAGATTGGAAAGATGTACATCGTATAAGAAAAAAAATCCAGTGAGGGTATTCCGTCTATGAATCCAAATATGAATTCATCCCCTGATTCAAAACGAAAATCTAAAAAACGAAAAGTTCTTACTGATCAGCTTTTCAATCGACTTCATTTGATCAATGTATTTGATGATGATTTTCCTTCAAATTCATCATTATCAATAGTCGATTCCTATTCACCTTGCGTACGTGGGTCTTGTACACTTGCATGGCATTTACCAGCCGATCCTCTTAATATTCAATATTATCGTAGGTGTCTTGTAATTCCTGGTGAAATTCCTTATTTCATTCCATCACCACGTACTCCGTATTTACCACCTGAACAATCTGACTCTTTTGTTCGACAACCTCGATTTACTTCTCTCCTACCTCTTCTGCTTACTGCTCAACGTACTGGCATTGATGTTCGACAATATAATATTATTAGTGAAAGAAATTCATTAAGAAAAATTGCGATGAATAATGAAGTCTATACAATCGGTGTGATAAAATTTGGTTCAAGTATATTTTTAAGACGTTATGATACTTATCAAACAATCAATAGAAATGATATTGGATATCGATTTGAACAAATGTGTACTACTGGTAATTATCTTGATGGTAATTATATTCAATTAATTGAAGGACACATTGGTACATTAAAAACATTGATGACAGGAGAAACTGATGCAGTTGAGAGACGCACTGGAAGATCAATTGAATTAAAATGTCATCGAAAACCTGATAATCAAGATATACAAGATTGGTGGTTACAAGCTTTTCTTAGTAAGTCGAAAATTTATCATTATAAATAATAATTTAATTCGTATTTGTTTTTTTGAAGGTGGTGTAACAAAAGTTATTCATGGTTGTCGTGCATTAGATGATCCCGAACGCTTGATAAATATGGTTGAATATCCTGTCTCAGAAATGAGTCATGAACAATATAAAAATCGAATATTAGAATTTCTCTATCAAGTTCTTCAATTTCTTTCATCGAATGTTATTGAAGGTCGAAATTATTTATTATCTCGTCGGATAGATCCAACAACAAGAAAACATCGATTATATTTATATGAGGTGACAAATAAAACAGATAAAGAAAAATTAACATTTCTTACAGAAGAATTACTTAATCGATTACTTGTTACTACTAGATAAATGATTGTGTTTTGTTATTTGAATTTTTGCATTTAATTAAAATAAGAATTTAATACAAGAAGATCTGTATCATGGCTACTAATATAGATTAGATCTATTAGTTTGATATTTCGTCTACGAACTACATTATACATGAAAAAGAAAACTTCAGTGTAATTGTTTTCATAAAACCTATAACATCATTAATGAAAGTGAAGGATATTTTCTGTCGAAATCAATTAGTAGTCATCGTCAGTGAATCGAAATGATAATGTTACGATACTAACTAGTAAATAAAAAATTGTCGAATGTTATCAATATACGCTTTGTAAGAATTTTCTGATTTAGAATCACTTTAGATAAACTTTGAGCATATAATCGAGAAATTATTTGATATCCACTTGTTCAAATGTCTTTGTTCATAATGTTGTCTATTATCATGGAAAATAAGAATAGTGGTATTCACTTGACGCAAATCGTGCATACAACATATAGTATATTATTATTGATCCATATGAGAATGATATTTTGAATGATTGATATATCGATGACGATTGTATACGTTTAGATAAAATAGATGTTCGGTCTCTATTGTTCACATCATCCGATTTGCTAATTGGTAGCGATTGTTCATAGTCTATGACTCTTCATAGGTACATAGAGAAAGTAAAAAAAAGAGAAAAAAAATGATACGTTTCGTATCGCATCAATAATTTTCGTTTATCCTACATACACGTGTGTTATTTTATGTTGACTTAAACCTTATTTCGTTTCCTTTTTACTTTAGCTCCGTTGAGAGCAATCATCGCATCTCGACGTGAAAAAACAAAATAGTATATAAGTACTTTTAAAAAGAATAATACAACGAATAATCACTCTATATTGATGGGTGATGTTACTGAAGAGAAACTACCTCTACTGAACATCATTGATGGTGATTTAGAAAGAGATAATCTACTTTACTCACGTACTATACATCTTCGAGTACCATCGCCAATTTCACATTGTCATGTACCTGACGATAAGTTCGATTATAGTACACGAAATCGTCTTGTAATTGTATTAATTGTGTGTATTATCTTTATTATCATTGAGATTATTGGTATGTTAAAATTTATTGAGATAAATAAATATTATTTATACTGATTTAGGTGGAGTAATTTCAAATTCAACAGCTATTGGAACTGATGCAGCACATATGTGTATTGATGCAGCTGGTTTTCTTATATCATTAACAGCATTATATTTAACTGCAAAACGACCAACAGACACACTTTCATATGGATATATTCGAGCTGGTATGATAAATATATCATATCTTTTAAAACAAATCTATTAATGTTTTCGTTTAGAGGTTCTTGGAGCTTTCCTTAGTGTGCTAACTATATGGCTTGCTACTGGAATTCTTGTTTACATGGCTATTCAACGTTGTATTGATCAAACATTTGAAGTAAAGCCAGTTGAAATGATCGTTGTAGCTTCATGTGGCGTTGTTTTTAATATATTGTAGGCATAAAACATTTAATCTCATCATTTAAAAACTTAAAAAAACATTTTATTTATTGCAGAATGTTTTTTATATTACATGTTAATACATGTAATGTATCAATGCCACATGGTCATTCTCATGATAATAAATCATCATCATCAGTTGAAAATACGCATGAACAACCAAAATCATCTAACAATATCAATATACGTGCAGCTACGATTCATGTTATTGGAGATTTTATACAGAGCATTGGTGTTCTTTTTGCTGCAATACTTATTAACGTTAAAGTATTACAAATATTAATCAATATTTAATTGAACTATAAATAAAATTATTTATTTTAGCCGGAATATAAATTAGCTGATCCAATTTGTACTTTTATTTTTTCAATATTAGTTCTTATTACAACAGTCACTATCATGCGTGATATTGTTCTTGTTCTTATGGAAGGTAAATCTTGTCTTTATTTTTAATTTCATCTTTAATTATTTAATAATCTAATAGGTGTTCCATCAAATGTGAATTATAAACAAGTTGTTGATGATCTTGTTCAAATATCTGGTGTTCGAAATGCACATAGTCTTCATATATGGTCATTATCTACACAAAAAATAGCATTATCCGTTCATATAGCAATAGGTAAGTGATATTTTTGATTAATAATGATATATTATAATATAGAAAATGCTTGAAATTTGTAGATAATGATCAAGATCCTTTGAAAATTTTGAGTGAAGCACAAAAAATGCTTCGTAATAAACATTCAATAACTCGATCAACGATTCAAGTTGAAACATATAATGAACATATAATGAATTCATGTGAAAATTGTCAACAACTAGGTACTAAATAAAATATATCGAATTTACTGAAATTGTAGTATTATTTAAGATAATATGTAGATTAGTTTTTTTAATATTGATAGTTTTTTGTGAATTTAAATATAATTTTAAATCAAATTCATCGTATTGTTTTTTTTTTACAAATAGTATTCAATAAAATACAGCCTATTATCTTGAAGGTGTGGGTGTGAGTGAGTATAGATGCTCTTTTGTTCCACCCTACACTGGAGATGGTAAGACTAATTAAGTGACTAGAGAGAATACATTTCTCGATATTTGAAAGGTAAGCAACATATTCTTTTCTTATTTACATTTATCTATCCATAAAAAAGAACTAAAAAGAAAAGAAATCAGTGATTAAATATGTAGGAAATTGATATCAAGATAACACAAAAAGTATTTTGAAAAACTAGTTTTCAATCATCTTATTCTTCAAATTTCATTTTTAATGTACGTTCGATAGCAGAATTATATAAGACTAATTATTATTGTTAATGCGATGCGGAGCAAAGCATTTACGTAATCCTTCGCGAGTTTTCTTGCTTTTTTTACGAAAGCATCGCAAAAACATGATCTAGACTTTTTCACATTCCGAGATAATTATAAAGGACAAATTAATACTTTATCAGTGGTATGCGAAAAGTAAATCTATATATTAAAGAAAATGAATATTCTGATTAATACAAGTAGTTGATTTTGAATGTTAACATACTGATTAATTTATTATTTGTGTTTATAGCAGTATGTTTATAGACAAGGTCTCGCCAAATTGAATACCAAACAAATCAATATTTACATTTATTGAAAATATTCAGAGATTAGAAATAAACGTATAAATTAATTGTATAGTTCTTTCTTTTCGAGAAATATTTATCAGAATAATTATTAGTATTATCAGTTCTATAACATTCAATAGTTGTTTATAACTGCTATATATTTTCTATGATGTATCCTGAAAATAGCACATTTCAAGAAGATAATCATTTTAATAATAGGTATGAAATAAACACAACGTTTTGATTGCATTTTATTTTTCATGACAAGAGAAAAACAAACAAAAAAAGAACCTGCAATGTATTGGACGGGAAATAGAGATTAGAGACAAAAAAAATCACTTATTAAAATGTTTCGCACATTATGTTTATGTTAGTTTTTTTGCTACGTTCTATTTACAAATAATAAATATCAAGAAAAGAGGAATTTTTTATATTGATGATCAATCATATCACATTCATGGCTAAAAAAAAGAAACGTACAGATGATTAAACATATTTTATTCGATTAACAAACAAAAACAAAAGAGAAAGTGAGTCAGAAGCAAACAACACATACAATATTAATATTCATCATCATTCGAGAGTAAAAAGTAATCTGACCAGTATATCATGTAAAAAAAAGCGAAAGAAATAACAAAACAAAAGAAAAAGAGAGAACATATTTTTCTTTCTCAAAATTTGCATCGAAAGCTTTTGTGAAATTCGTTTTCGAACAGTGTAAAAAAAGATGAATAAATATATGTATTTAGTCTACTTTTCTATCTAGTTTGAAAGAACAAGAATATAGTTCACATATTTATTATAATATATATGCACGTTCACACATAAAGAGAAAGATAAAAAAATAAAGATGAAATACAAAAAAAAAGAAACGAGAAAGATTCATCCATTGGCTTTGTCATGCATTCGTATATTTGAAAATCTGACGCACATTTGGTCTAAAAATGAATAATACAATTTTCTTTTGTAATGTAAAAATTGACTAGAAAAACTTTTCTTAGGTAGTGTTCAATCACGATTAACTGATTTTGGTTTATTTGTTTGTTGATTATTTATTCCATCAAGATGCTGTTTCCCATTCTTCATCTTCTTTTTGATCATTATCACTTACTGAGTTATGGCAAAAATTATTATTACTGGTGATGCTATTGTAAGATTAGAAATTTGTGAAACAGATCAAGCTTGTAAGATGGCATGTGAACAAGATATGACATGTTGGGAATGATCATTTTCAATTTCATTAAAAAAATGTTGACAATATTCAAAAGTTGTTGAGTTCTCGTGGGATAATGATTATATAGGTTAAGTGATTAAAAATAATTTTTTTATTCGTTTCTTTGGACATAAATGAAATCGTTTATTATCATCAAAAAAATAAAATAAAGTAAAATTGAAGAATTTTGTTTTTAGAATTAATTATAAAATATATTGTATATTTTAATTTAGTGATGAATATATCATATCCAGATATAATTTCTTTAAAAATGTTCAGACAACAAGCATTAGATAAACATAATGAATATCGTAGAAAACATTGTTCACAATTATTAATATTAAGTGAAAATCTAAATGAAATTTCTCAAGATTATGCAGACAGATTAGCTTCATTTGGTGAAACACCACCAAATTATAGCGGAATTAGAATGGAAAATTTATATAATCAAACACTTGATTATTAATTACAATGTAAATAAGAATGCAAGTATTTCTATTAATTTAAAGGCTCAGTTCCAGTCGAACAATGGTATAACGAAAAAAATAATTATAACTGGGCATATCCTGATTTTTCTAAATCAAAAAATTTTGCTAAACTTATTTGGAATAATGTGACACAATTAGGAATTGATAGAGCATTTACCAGTGATAATACAACAATGTTTGTAGTTGCAACTTATTATCCTGGTGGATATATTGAAGAATCATACATACAAAATATCAAAAGAGAGTGTTAACAAATCAATATTCAAATATATTTAACCAAAATCAATTACAAAATTTTAAAACTGTTTTATATATAAAAACACATATTCATATTATTTTTTAATACTAAATCAAAATTTGATTCTTTCACAATTTTTTTGTATTATTTATTAACTGAACTTTCTTAAAACTATGAATCTTTATTGAGATAGAAAAATAACTTTTGTTCTACAGTTTTTTTTCTACACCATCAAAGTATGTCCATTAATCTAAAAATCTTCTATACACTATTGTTTTCGACTAACATAATCATTTCGATTTTATTACAATTTACAATTTTTTAACTAATCATTTTCAATTTATTTCTATTAATATTTCTTTTTTTTCATTTAAATATATATGCAGTTTATTCTTAAAATATAACATAACTATTTTCAAATATATTTATTAGAAAAACTCCGATATTGTCTTATTTATATTTTTTATGTACAAAATATGATCCAAGTATATAACGAAAAATATATCGTTATATTTGCTTATTTACTTTATTATGGTCGTTATCTACCTGTATGTTATTTCATTTGTCATTTATATACATATATAAAGAATAACAAAACATCAATCTTTCATATAACCATTTTTTTCAGTCTACCAAACAAAAAAGAAAAACCGAATATCGATAAATAATGTTTTTTTATATAAAAATACGTCGAAACATGTGCATATTATTCGACTAAATACATTAATCTTCATTAAGACTCTATACATGAAATAGATATTGAAAGTATTTATTCTTTTTCTTAATAATAATTTATATAAATAAATAAATATCGATAACTATTCATTTGTCAGTATAACGATAAAAAAGAAAAGCATTCATCTAAGATAAAATATTATTCTTATAAACAAAACAATACTTACTGGTTAATTTAATTAAATATTGTAAGTATTAAAGAATTTCTTTAACAAAATATTTAATTCTTTTGCTCAGAAAAAAAAAAATTTTTATCTTTTTGCACCTTTTGTTTTTCTCATAAAAATTTAAAGAATTGAACTAATAGAAATATTCAAACATAAATTTCATTTGAGTTTTGATATTTAAATGACTTTAGACTAATTTGAGATTATTTAAGAAAGGAAAAGAAATAAAATTACTTAACAATTATAATTTATCACAAAAAATCAGATTTAGTTGAACTTTAAGAAAAGAAATAATATTTATTTGTTGTAATCTATAGAATATTCGAAAATCTTATAAAAGTAAATACTACGATAGAATGAAAATTTCTTTCTTACAAATAGTAATAAGATGTCTTCTTCAATAAAATAAATGGTTACATTGAAATTTTTCACTCGTTAACATATGTACATTTTGTAAATATTAGTCAATTGTACTTACAATAAAAAACGTTTGTATAAATATCTATTTTTGAGATGATCAAATATTTTTATGTAGTTATTATAATTATTAAAAATATTCTTTCAAACATTTCTTTCAAAAGAAATCCATTCAAAAATTTTTAAACAATTTGTTGAGTTTTTCGATTACAAGATTTTCAATGTATTTTTTCTCCATTAAAATATTCAAAACTAAAAGATATATAAACACTGGATATATCATTAAAACTAAAGATTTTATTTGTAGAATAGAATTAAATCTTAACTGAAACAATTTTCATATTAGTCTTATTTAGTCTATATTGATCATCAAACAATAGAAACTAATCGCACTGATTTATGTATAGATATTATTATAAATATTTTCCTAATTAAATCTAATTTAAATTCAAGGTTTCAAAGTTGATTATATATCAGATTAAAAAGAAAAATTCCTAGAAGATTTTCTTCTGAGTTTTGTAATCAGAAGAAAAGATTGAGAAGAGTTTTTGCGATTTTGATTCTATATGAAAAATTTATATCATTTATTACTACTCGTTAGAATTTATTTCTTATCAAGAAGAAAACAACTGATTCTACCGTAATAGAACCAATTAGAATTCGTAGAATCGTCAGCTTTAAAAAACGAAAATTTTCAAGAAAAATAGAAAACAAATCTTTACAGTAAAATCTTTTAGAATCACACTGAAATTCGTTAGACACTTATAATGATTTGTTTTTCTGTGCGTAGAGAGAATTAAACTCATAATATGATCTACGTATAAGAATAGGAAATTTTCAAAAGAATTTAATTTAACATAAAAGTCAATAAAAAAAGCATTTAATAAAATATTCTATTTTATAAAAATAAATATTTCGAAGATATTTTTTTCGAGAAATAGTTTTAAAGAAAAATATATGAGAGAATTAGAAAAAATAAGTATTTGAAAGAACGATGAATATAACTTTAAAAAAACATTTTTATTGAAAATAAATCCTACTAATCATTTAGAATTAGTTAATCTATTGAATTGATTAGATCTGAGTGTAGTTTACGAATTTCATTTATTTTTTTAATTATTAATTGTTTATATTTCTTTAGTTTAATAGAGACAAAATGTCATCAATATCAATAGATATTCCAACATTAGAAATCAATTCATATGGACTTAAAAATCTTGTCAATTATATATCTCGACACGAGCAGACTCTAAAAGAATTTGGAGCTATTAAAATTAAATTAAATTCTGATTGTTTATTAGGCATAAAAAAACAGAAAATTTCTTCGAAATTTACAAATATTCAAAGAATCGTGAAAATAAGTAATGATGAACCAATTTATTCGATAAAGAAAATTGAAGGTATAAATGATTACATGAAAGAACATATACCAATATTAAATGAAGAAACATTCTGGTCTTCTTTTATTCATTCAAATCATAAACATGAACAATCAGCTGCTTCAATATTACTAAATAAATCATTGTTTTTAAAAAAGTCTCCTGAAAATTCCTTTTCAATCCATCATATACCAAAACAATCATTACTTAAATTAGTTGATACTCAAAGAATTCAACAATTTGTTCCTTGTTTAACACGATCACATGAACCAGGAACTATATTTCCATTATCAGATACGCAACAACGTTTATTTTCATTAATATACCATCATGATGGTGGTTCTCGCTATTGGTACATTATTCCTTCATGTGAAAGGGAAATATTACTAAAACTACTTTATCAAAAACGTTCTTCAGCATGTTTTCAACATGATCAATTATTTATTAATCCATCCATATTAGATAAACATCATATTCGATATCATCGAATTATTCAACATTCAAATGAATTTATTGTTTTGTCAGCTGGAACAATATCACAGAGTTTCACTACAGATGCATGTTGGACTGAATCTATTCCATTTGCATTACCTAGTTGGATTAGAAATGATCATGCTTACAATCAAAATTCAACATGTCAATGTAAAATAAATCAATTTTCAGAAACAAAAACTAATAATATCAATTTATCTCAATCAGATCCTGTACAAAAATCTATTGGTCAGTATTTCAATGTTAATAATAATCATCATCAACATACATCAATTTCGACAGGCTAGCTAATAGTATAAACATTTTTTTAAGAATTCTATTCGATCTCTATCATAAAATCAATTTCAATTCAGATTATTAGTATTTTTGTATGAGTGAGTTCAGTAACAATGTATATCGCACCTAGAAATATAATAGGACTATCATCAGTTGTTCAAATTTTGCATTTACTATTTTTGTTAATATGCGAATTCTGAAAAAAATCGTCGAGAAGTCCAGATGATTTTCTTTAGAACTATAAGACAGAAACACGTTTCTTCTTCAATACGATTGAAATCGATTAGAATTATTTTTTCCGATTTCAGTTGATTGCCATGATTTGACTTGATTTTATAATTATGTAATAATAAATGAAAATAATTATTTAACATTCTAATAAAAATTTCTCTTTTAGATAATATTGATTGTTCGATAAATTTCAATCCTATTATACAATTAAATCAAATTACAATTAATCAAAACAATTCACAACAAGAACAACAACAACTAGAATCGAAAAGGTTAGCTAAAGATAATTATATTATAATTACACTAATTATTTATTTATTCAAAAAAAAAGGATCGAGAATTGTTTTATTTGTCGTTAAAGAGAAATAAATACCATTCTTTAATTGATCAGAAAATTCTTTTCTTTGTATCATTAAAAATGAATTTCTTGTCTATCATACTTAGTTTTATTTATATATATTATTTAGAGAAAATCTTTTGAAAATATCTTTAGAAAGATGTTAATACCATTCAAATCAGATATTCAAATGTAAAACATGATCTATTTCAATGTTTATATAATATATAAGAAAATACTATGGTATCGATTACGTTTTGTAGATGCAGTAGGTTCAAATTTCTGTTCGTATATACATCAAAATTCATTTAAGCAGAATTTAGTTGAAAGAAAGATTCAGATTATTTTTTCGATGTCTTTTTCCTACAAAAAAATAAACAATATTTGTAAATGTTTTAATATTAAAAGACATATTTTTTTGTTTGATTTCAGTCATAATATTAGAAAAAACAATTTTCATAATGACACAACCGATGATATGCTTTTAAACATGTCAATTGAACAAAATTTGGAAGATTTTTTCGCTGAACTTTCAAATACACAACAAAATCACAGTTACCAAACGACAACATTTGTGACAACAACACAAAATATTGCAAATCATGAAACTATTGACAATCAAGATTCTTCACTAGATGATTTCATGAACATTCTTGCTTATAATACTTCACCTACTATACCATCTAAAAGTGTGCAAACTGAAGAATCAATCAATACGATTGAAAAATATCAAAATCAACAAGCGGTAAGTAATTATGAATATTGTTTCTTTCGAAATATAATAGTTAAGGAAAAAATATTCATTTTTAAAAGATATCTTGGTAATCATCGTATTTTAATTCTAATTCATATTTTGCTGATTATAAACTAAGAAAACCATGATAATTAGGCGAATATAAATTTATACAACTATGACATATTTGAATATTATCAGTCGAAAACAATCTTGTCGATATAAAATTCTGAAATTTTACTAGTTAATATTGAAATATTTATTAGTAAAAATGTCAAGTTTGTAAATGCATAAAAAAAACTTTGAGAGAAATATATTCAATAAGAAGAATATTCCTTTATATTTTCTTTCAACATAATCGTTAATCAAGGTAAATTTTAAGGAGTATTAAATCGAAAACAAATCATTCTTTATTAGTCAATTGGATGATTATTAGAAATGATTACTATCTCTCTTCTAATATATTTTTCGTCTCTTTTTAGGCACATGAATCATCGACAGTGATGAATACAACAACAACAACAACAACAACAGCAGAAATCACAAATACTAAGAATAATGTTAAAAAAAGAAAATTTAACGAAGATATTAATCGTTATAAGACACTTGTTGTATTGAGACTACGATCTGATGTTAGTGAAATTGATTTATATCATCATTTTATTGGCTGTATTAAAGTAACTTTAAAACCATGTAAATCAGAAACATATTTGAAGTATAATACGTCATTTTAAATAATAGAAACAACACTTTTTATCTTCTTCTTCTTAGATATGCTTTTATTGAACATAGAACAATAAAAGAAGCTGAGTGTAATTTCAAACGACCTCTCAATTATCTTCTTTTCGGTTCTAAATCTTATGTGAAATACGCCGGTGATTCTTCATCTCTTCCTATTGGATATCGATTCGATAACGAACGAACAATTGTAGTAAAAAACATTCCAGAAAATGTTACCGAAGATGATTTACGTCAATTATTTATCAATTGTTCTATATCAAAATATTGCCCATCACGTAAAATTCATCATACAACTCTCTCAGCTTCAATTATGAACAAAATTAAAACTCTTTTAGGGTAAGAACAGCATTAGAATTTCTGATTTTTTTAAACATTAGATCTAACTTTTCTATCATTGAAATATATATTATTTCATACTTAGCATTGATCTTCAAAATATAACAAGATTATATCCTTATTATGTTTATAGATTTTGTTACAAATGAAATAAAAACAAAATTATAGATAGATTTTCATGTTTTAATAATATATTTTTCAAGTTAAGAATATTTCTCGAATCAATATAGTTAGTTAAAGTACTAAAATAGTACATAGGATCTTTAATCTCTACCGTTTTCCATCGTTATTGTTTTACAACTTAAATTATTAATCTTACTATAATTTATTGTGAAGAGTTTTTATTGTTCTAGATTTTGTTTAATTATTTTAACAATTATTCGAACATAATATATTTCATTACGAGTTTTAGCAATAGTCTATTTATAAAAGTCGTTAATAATAATGTTCAAGAACAAAACAAAAGTTTTGTCAACTAATCGAATGTCTATTTATCGTATTAACTTTAGAAAAATTTCTATTTCTATTTGGTCAATAAGTAAAGAAAAAGAATAAATGAGATCATTTATGATCATCTTTTTTAGACCTATATGTATGTTATAGTATCGAATAAACGTGTAATATTTCATTAGAATTTCATCAATTACGTACTAATGATATTACCTATAGAAGAAATCATTTTGAATAAAAAATATGTAGAATGTTTATTTTATATACACACTGTGTAGAGTGTGCTTCGTCATGATTTACCTTGTATTGTACTTTAATCATTAGTAATGACTATAACAAAACTTTTATTTGTGGCATCAATCTCAATTATTTGTCTAAAAATTCAAAAAAATATGAATAAGACATCAGTAGTATAAAACTCTCTTTGAATCTTGCTAATTTGTAGAAGCATATTTAACGAGCACGTCAGTAAAGGATAATTTGAGTGTTAAACAGTCAGCATTAGAAGAATGAAATATAACGGAAACAATCAAACACGATAATCAAATTCTTTTTTATTTATTTTTATTTCAGGTATGCGTTTCTTGTTTACAATACCGTTCAAGAAGCATCCAATGTTATTGAACATGCTGATCAATATCAAATCAATGGTCAACAATTGATTATTTCTGCTTATATCGATTCACGTCAATTATAAATAGTCATAAAACAACGTTTTTTTTTCATCACTTTTGTAAAAGTTCTAAAAATTCATATAACTATTTGTTTTATAAGAACTGTTTATCTCATATCTAAGGGAAGACAACTTCTCTTTTTGATTGACTCTTGGGTAAATAAATAATCTAAAGCTTACATATTTTTTTATCAAGAAAACAATGACATAATAAACGATAGTTGTTGTGTTCATAGTATTTGATTGATATTTCATAAGAATATTTTGTTGTACAATCAAGATTGACTTCAAATATTCGATATCTACCGAATCTCATAATTCATTTTTAATTAATATTTCTCTTTTATCTAATAGTTGACGCACTATATTATTCAATTAATTCCTGTCTACTTACATTGTTCTATATAAATAAACGAACTACATGTAGGGTAAATGTAATGAAAATTCTATTTTTAATAATAATAGAAATTGTCAATCTTAATCGATCATTATTAACCATAAGAATACGGCCACAACACACAATGATGTTATAAAAAACGAAAACCTTAAACATTATAACATAAACATTATAAGAATAACAATTCACAAAGATGTTGATTGTGACCAATAATAAATTTTGTTTAATTTGATCTTAAAACCGAATTGGTTCTATATGCCTGTAAACCTACTAATAACTTATAATTCATATATCAATATCTACTGAATAATGATAATTATGGATGAGGATAATGTAAAAGCATGAGATTTAATGCAATATACCTAGATCAAACGAACTCAATCGGATCTAGTCGTTATGGAATAATTTGATCGGATCCCACGATGTATTTTATCGGACTCTCATGCTCTGGATGCCAACCAGATTTCATCCAAATCCGATCAGATCTATAGGTCGGATTGCATCTCCTGCGATCAGATAAACGAACTAAATGTAGAATAAACTACGTGAATATCTTATTTTTATGAAAGTTTTCGATCTCAATCGATCACTATCTACTAACAAGAACACGAACAATAACTATATAGATGTATGAAATAAATTCCGTATTAAGACCAAATTAAATGAATTTATCGTTCGTGACAATTCATATCTTTATCAATTCTTCTTATCCTTATTCTTAATGTTTATGTTGCTATTTATATTGATGTAAATGTTTGCATTACACTGTTCTAGTGCAAACGTCGTTAAAAAACTAGTATTTAGTTCTTCAAGTCAATCGAAACATTATCTATCATGAAAATTTTTAACACAATTCATAATTAACCACCATTTCAGTGAAAATATTTCATTATGTTTTTTACCAGATATCTCTTAAGTGTTTCATTACCGAATTCTTTCAATACATGGATCTTTTATTACTAGTTCTACAATGGTGTCTCCTAAGTTTTATCAGCTTGGGCAGCATTTAAAAATGTTTCAAGGTATGTTAATCCCAAAAACAACTACTTTCCCAAAGCTCACCATAACAGATACGTCACCCATAACATGTCTTCCTGCTCATTCTCTAACCTC